ATGTTCATAATAATTTATAGAGTTATCGATCGTAATTAATCACGTCATAAGTAACAATGTAAATTTGCCCGCCCTAAGTATACTTTAGGGATATTTCTCAAGGTAATGTTGTCCTGATGAAGCCCAATTAGAAGGGCGAAACCGGTAGACTGATTACCTATAATAAATCTTTGAAGAACCCGCCTCCAGTCTGTTGGATTGATTCATACCTATTTAAGCTCACTGTGAGAAAGTGTTATACTGTGTCAATGTGATACAGTGTGTCAATGTGTTACAGAGTGTCAATGTGTTACTGTGTCAATGTGTTACACTATGAGAAAGTGTTACACTGCCAATGTGTTACACTATGAGAAAGTGTTACACTGTCAATGTGTTACACTGTGAGAAAGTGTTATACTGTGTCAATGTGATACAGTGTGTCAATGTGTTACAGAGTGTCAATGTGTTACAGTGTCAATGTGTTACAAAGTGTCAATGTGATACAGTGTGTCAATGTGTTACAGAGTGTCAATGTGTTACACTATTTTAATGTGTAACACTATGTCAATGTGTTACACTGTGTCAATGGGTTACAAAGTGTCAATGTGTTACATGGTGTCAATGTGTTACATTGTGTCATTGTGTTACACTATGTCAATGTATTACACATGTGCCAATGTGTTACAATGTGTCAATGTGTTACACTATGTGCCAATGTGTTACAGTGTGTCAATGGGTTACAAAATGTCGATGTGTTACACTTTGTCTCAATATGCTTCACTCTGTCATTGTGCAAATATTTTGTGTAAAAATTGTTGTTAATGAAAATATAAGACAAACACAGTCTACATTTCAATGTCATACAATTTATTGCATGTAAAGATGAAGTAACAAATGATTGTTGACTGATATCTAACAAGTTGTGTGTGACAACCAATGTCTAGCTGTCCATATCAAACTTGTTATGTCTGATGACATCAAACTAGTGACATGTGACAACCAATGTCTAGCCATCCATATCAAACCTATGTCTGATGACAAATATCTGTCAAACTAGTGATGTGTGACAATTAATATGGATGTGTGACAGCAAATATGCATCCCCACTGAACTAGTGATGTGTGAATACAGATGTCTGTCTACACCAAACAAGTGATGTGTGACCACAGACTTCTGTCCACACCAAACTAGAGATGTTCAAACACAGATGTCTGTCTACACCACACTAGAGATGTTCAAACACAGATGTCTGTCTACACCAAACTAGTGATGTGTGACCACAGACTTCTGTCCACACCAAACTAGTGATGTGTGAACACAGATGTCTGTCCACACCAAACTAGCAATGTGTGAACACAGATGTCTGTCCACACCAAACAATTGATGTGTGAACATAGATGTCTGTCCACATCAATCTAGTGATGTGTGAACACAGATGTCTGTCCACATCAAACTAGTGATGTGTGAACACAGATGTCTGTCCACATCAAACTAGTGAACACAGATGTCTGTCCACATCAAACTAGTGATGTCAGTCCACACCAAACTAGTGATGTTCAAACATAGATGTCTGTCCACATCAAACTAGTGATGTGTGAACACAGATGTCTGTCCACATCAAACTAGTGATGTGAGAACACAGATGTCTGTCTACATCAAACTAGTGATGTGTGAACACAGTTGTCTGTCCACATCAAACTAGTGAACACAGATGTCTGTCCACATCAAACTAGTGATGTCAGTCCACACCAAACTAGTGATGTTCAAACACAGATGTCTGTCCATATCAAACTTGTTATGTCTGATGACATCAAACTAGTGACATGTGACAACCAATGTCTAGCCATCCATATCAAACCTATGTCTGATGACAAATATCTGTCAAACTAGTGATGTGTGACAATCAATATGGATGTGTGACAGCAAATATGCATCCCCACTGAACTAGTGATGTGTGAATACAGATGTCTGTCTACACCAAACAAGTGATGTGTGACCACAGACTTCTGTCCACACCAAACTAGAGATGTTCAAACACAGATGTCTGTCTACACCACACTAGAGATGTTCAAACACAGATGTCTGTCTACACCAAACTAGTGATGTGTGACCACAGACTTCTGTCCACACCAAACTAGTGATGTGTGAACACAGATGTCTGTCCACACCAAACTAGCAATGTGTGAACACAGATGTCTGTCCACACCAAACAATTGATGTGTGAACATAGATGTCTGTCCACATCAATCTAGTGATGTGTGAACACAGATGTCTGTCCACATCAAACTAGTGATGTGTGAACACAGATGTCTGTCCACATCAAACTAGTGAACACAGATGTCTGTCCACATCAAACTAGTGATGTCAGTCCACACCAAATTAGTGATGTTCAAACATAGATGTCTGTCCACATCAAACTAGTGATGTCTGTCCACATCAAACTGGTGAACACAGATATCTGTCTACACCAAACTAGTGATTTGTGAACACAGATGTCTGTCCATATCAAACAAGTGATGTCTGTCCACATCAAACTAGTGATGTGTGAACACAGATGTCTGTCCACATCAAACAAGTGATGTATAAACAAAGATGTCTGTCCACATCAAACAAGTGATGTGTGAACACAGATGTCTGTCCACATCAAACTAGTGATGTCAGTCCACACCAAACTAGTGATGTTCAAACACAGATGTCTGTCCATATCAAACTAGTGATGTCTGTCCACATCAAACTAGTGATGTGTGAACACAGATGTCTGTCTACACCAAACTAGTGATGTGTGAACACAGATGTCTGTCCACACCAAACATTTGATGTGTGAACACAGATGTCTGTCCACATCAAACTAGTGAACACAGATGTCTGTCTACACCAAACTAGTGATTTGTGAACACAGATGTCTGTCCATATCAAACAAGTAATGTCTGTCCACATTAAACTAGTGATGTGTGAACACAGATGTCTGTCCACATCAAACTAGTGATGTCAGTCCACACCAAACTAGTGATGTTCAAACACAGATGTCTGTCCATATCAAACTAGTGATGTCTGTCCACATCAAACTAGTGGTGTGTGAACACAGATGTCTGTCTACACCAAACTAGTGATGTGTGAACACAGATGTCTGTCCACACCAAACATGTGATGTGTGAACACAGATGTCTGTCCACATCAAACTAGTGATGTCTGTCCACATCAAACAAGTGATGTGTGAACACAGATGTCTGTCCACATCAAACAAGTGATGTATAAATACAGATGTCTGTCCACACCAAACATGTGATGTGTGAACACAGATGTCTGTCTACACCAAACTAGTGATTTGTGAACACAGATGTCTGTCCACATCAAACTAGCAATGTGTGAACACAGATGTCTGTCCACACCAAACATGTGATGTGTGAACACAGATGTCTGTCCACATCAAACTAGTGATGTGTGAACACAGATGTCTGTCTACACCAAACTAGTGATTTGTGAACACAAATGTCTGTCTACACCAAACAAGTGATGTGTGAACACAGATGTCTGTCTACACCAAACTAGTGATGTGTGAACACAAATGTCTGTCCACACCAAACAAGTGATGTGTGAACACAGATGTCTGTCCACATCAAACTAGTGATGTGTGAACACAGATGTCTGTCCACACCAAACTAGTGATGTGTGAACACAGATGTCTGTCCACATCAAAAACTAGTAATGTCTGTCCACATCAAATTTGTGATGTCTGTCAACATCAAACAAGTGATGTGTGAACACAGATGTCTGTCCACATCAAACTAGTGATGTCTGTCCACATCAAACTAGTAATGTCTGTCCACACCAAACTAGTGATGTGTAAACACAGATGTCTGTCCATATCAAACAAATGAAGTGTGAACACAGATGTCTGCCCACATCAAACTAGTGATGTGTGAACACAGATGTCTGTCCACATCAAACTAGTGATGTGTGAACACAGATGTCTGTCCACATCAAACTAGTGATGTCTGTCCATACAAAATTAGTGATGTGTGAACACAAATGTCTGTCCACATCAAACTAGTGATGTGTGAACACAGATGTCTGTCCACATCAAACTAGTGATGTGTGAACACAGATGTCTGTCAACATCAAACTAGTGATGTGTGAACACAGATGTCTGTCCACATCAAACTACTGATGTGTGAACACAGATGTCTGCCCACATCAAACTAGTGATGTGTGAACACAGATGTCTGTCCATATCAAACAAGTGAAGTGTGAACACAGATGTCTGTCCACATCAAACTAGTGAAGTGTGAACACAGATGTCTGTCCACATCAAACTAGTGAAGTGTGAACACAGATGTCTGCCCACATCAAACTAGTGATGTGTGAACATAGATGTCTGTCCACATCAAACTAGTGATGTCTGTCCATACAAAATTAGTGATGTGTGAACACAAATGTCTGTCCACATCAAACTAGTGATGTGTGAACACAGATGTCTGTCCACACCAAACTAGTGATGTGTGAACACAGATGTCTGTCCACATCAAACTAGTGAACACAGATGTCTGTCCACACCAAACAAGTGATGTGTAAACACAGGTGTCTGTCCACATCAAACTAGTGATGTCTGTCCACATCAAGCAAGTGATGTGTGAACACAGATGTCTGTCCACATCAAACTAGTGATGTCTGTCCATACAAAATTAGTGATGTGTGAACACAAATGTCTGTCCACATCAAACTAGTGATGTGTGAACACAGATGTCTGTCCACATCAAACTAGTGATGTGTGAACACAGATGTCTGTCAACATCAAACTAGTGATGTGTGAACACAGATGTCTGTCCACATCAAACTACTGATGTGTGAACACAGATGTCTGCCCACATCAAACTAGTGATGTGTGAACACAGATGTCTGTCCATATCAAACAAGTGAAGTGTGAACACAGATGTCTGTCCACATCAAACTAGTGAAGTGTGAACACAGATGTCTGTCCACATCAAACTAGTGAAGTGTGACATCAAACTAGTGATGTCTGTCCACATCAAACTAGTGATGTCTGTCCATACAAAATTAGTGATGTGTGAACACAAATGTCTGTCCACATCAAACTAGTGATGTGTGAACACAGATGTCTGTCCACACCAAACTAGTGATGTGTGAACACAGATGTCTGTCCACATCAAACTAGTGAACACAGATGTCTGTCCACACCAAACAAGTGATGTGTAAACACAGGTGTCTGTCCACATCAAACTAGTGATGTCTGTCCACATCAAGCAAGTGATGTGTGAACACAGATGTCTGTCCACATCAAACTAGTGATGTCTGTGCACATCAAACTAGTGATGAGTAAACACAGATGTCTGTCTACACCAAACTAGTGATGTGTGAACACAGATGTCTGTCCACACCAAACAAGTGATGTGTGAACACAGATGTCTGTCTACACCAAACTAGTGATGTGTGAACACTGATGTCTGTCCACATCAAACTAGTGATGTACCTTTGACAACCAATATTCTATGGTCAGACAAATGGACTGTTCACATTAGTACACTGTAAATTGACCACCAGGATGTGTTTGTTCATGAAAACATTCAGTGACTTATCCTTTTGATCTGTTATAAAACGTTGTTCTCTGCACTCCATCTGTACACATGTATCATAGCATTCTTCCTTGTAGATAACACTTACTATCATGTGTACACAACATGTGAAGGAACACCTTTACAGTTTATACAAAGTAGTCTATAGGTGTCCACATATCTGTCACACACCTTGCTGACACTGATGCTTTGTTAGTGATAATTTACTTATTTACAAAGCACTTTTTACCAAAATCCTTTTGCAAAGAGAATATGAGGATATCATATAGCAACATTAAATGGTCATATATCAACTCATTTTAGAAGTATTTCTTTTTAGATCTGTTTATCCAGAAACTAAAGGACAGTATATTCTGCTTTACCAAACATGGTAATACAAACAGAGCACGTCTATCAAAAGAGATTCAATGTATTATTTCAAAAATTTGAAACACTTTAATAACAACTTCTTAAGCTTCAAAATCAACTAAGACTTGATATTTAAAATACAGTCATGCAACAGGGGTTTCCAAAGTAACCTATTTTCGAACGTTAAATGAAAGATTTTTATCTCTACAACAAACACGAAAACATCCAGATACGGTGAAAAAAGAAGCCCAGTAGTAGTCTTTTATAAACCTTTCACACGAGGAAATACTGCAAATTATGATATGATTATCAGGTATTAACAAAAATATTTCCAGTGCACATTAATGACTTTTTCATACATAACTGGTTAATGTTGAAACTCAAGTGACTGTTCCAGAAAAAAAATAATTACCTCTTATTGTTGTAGTCCACAGGGATATGGCACAAATTCTAACCAAATGGTGTTATGTATATTATAAGTATACCATAGGATTAAACTTTGAACCAAGCTCTGTAGTGGATTGAGACAAACATTTAAAACAAACCTTGTTGACAATCAATTGAGGTTCGATTTTTTAAAGGAAGATGTGACAGCCGCCACATCTAGACACTTAAAGACTTGGCCCTCTAGGCCCAGATTTCAAAACCTAAATGTCTATAACATGAATATATTTATAAACTTATATTGAATATGTTGAAAATGTGTGTGATGCTGCCTCTGTGTTTCTGTTGCTGCTGTCCACGCGTGATTAAACAAGTTCATATAAATTGTACTTCTTCCTGTCTATCTAAACAGATTTTTGGTCAACAGATATCCCCATGGATACATATATAGGGCCACATTTTAAAAAGTTAAATTTTAACAAATGATCAACTGAAATGTCTCCATTGACGGTCAGAGTTTCAAAGCCACACAACTGAACATATCACCATGGAAAGGTTAGTTCCGATGTCACATACAAGGTTACTGTTACTGTTATGTCAATGTTCCAAAGTCAAATATACGCAGTTTCCACGAGTTATTTCTATCCATGGTCAAAGTTCCAAGGTAACACATCGCAATCATCTGTCTTGGTTTATGGGGACAGTTAAAAAATCACACTCTTCCTGATTTAAAAAAAATTTCACATATTTTCACATTTCACTGTTTACATTTCTTCTATAAGATGCACAGCATGAAGTTGCACCAAAACAGATCAGCAGGAGACTGGTAGTGTTACTCCACAATGAGTTCATGTGTCACAGACAAATAAGAAACAACTGTAACATTACCTAGCTAAGTGGTATACATAAGGACTGCCATGACCATCAATAATTCTGCTCAGGAGGCAAGAACGCAACTGTCTGCAGAACAAGGTTATCCTCAAACATCTGGACAAAAATGCTGGATCATTCCTGATACCATGATGATGTTGCATTCATTGGACCACCTTAGCCTTAATACTGAGATAAGACACTATCAGTGGGCCATGCCTGGCATTGATACCTTGTGGAAAAGACAATGGACAAGACTGCCAGCTGCTGAAACACTCCCTGGCTTGATACTGAGATAAAGACATCTGTCACAGGGCCATACCTGGCATTGATACCTTGGAAAAGACAATAGACAAGGCTGCCAGCTGCTGAAACACTCCCTGGCTTGATACTGGGATAAAGATGTCTTTCACTGGGCCATCCCTGGCACTGCTACTATGGAAATCCTAGCACTGACACCATGGATGTCATTAGACTTTTTCTACCATCAAGGCCGTTTGTCAATGTACAAGGCAAGAATTACAGTGACCACTCTATCAATATCTACCCTTAATACTTATTAAGATTAAGATAATGGTAAATTGACCTAGTGATGAGAATGTATGTCACTGAGTTATTTGGAAACATATGCCACAAATATACAGGATTATCCCCAGTCTTAGTCTTTAGCAGCAGGGTTCTTCTCCGACAATATCAGAAATATTTCCTTATACCAGAGGCACTGATATCACAAGTTCTACTCGCTATCCTCATCAACAGGTATCACTTTCTTTCTTTTCTTTGCTCTTGGTTTTATTTCCTCATCCTGTAGTAAAACAATAAAAAAATAACTTATTGAAGCATGACAGAAAACCTTACTCCTCTCGGCTATTACTTCAAAATTACTAATTCTTTAAAATGTCAAGTAACAGCTATGATCAATATTTTAACAAGGGCCATCATAGGTGTTTTATGCTCCATGATTTGGACAAAAATTAAGTATGAAAAATAACAAAGAGCAATAAGGGAGTTATGATTCTTGTGCAATGCCCACCTATTTGTTGAGATCTATCTACCTAGGGAGTTTCATGTTGATACCTCTTATAATTTTAGTGTAATGTCCAAGACAAAATTTATGTATGAAAAATAACAAAGGGCAATAACTCCTAAATTATTCATAAAAGAGTGATGATGCACTTTTCCTTGTTGATATCTATCTACCTATGAAGTTTTACGTGGAGATCTCTTACAGTGTTTGTGTTATGCTGGACAAAATTATGACAGACACAGCGGTGACTATATGCTCTCCCTTCAGGGAACATAATAACATCAATTTTACGGGGACACTCTGTCTCGAAAACTCACCTCACTGCTTTCTGTAGCACTATCACTATAATCCTGAGCTTGTTTCTTTGATTTATTGACACGACCAAGTCGATTATCTATCCCCATGGCAGCACTAGCACTTGCTGCTTTCCTAACAGGAAGTCCTCGCAGCACCCGTGTCGTTCTCACATCCTCAATGTCCTCTGCTAGGGCCAGGAGGTCCCCATACCTAGAACAATCAAACATTTACCAATAATTTCTTTGTACAAATATTGCTTTAAAGTAATTACAATTCCTATATTGTTTTACATGTGTTGTTAAACATATACCTGGACAACAATAAGTAATTAATAGGACAGCTGGTTCATATGCATAATCAAATATGTACCCAGGTAACATTTTGTCAAACTCAATAACATATTTTTGACACAAGAAAGAGATTGATAGATGGATTAAGTAATTCTAAGACTTTTGGCCAAAACAGTGACTATCCCGCTTCCTTAATGTAACAAAACTTTTCACTTGACTAGAAATAGGAAGGTAAGTTACCTTGTCTTCAGAGATTCACTCGCAGACTGCTGTATTTGTTGTAAAGCTTGCTGAATATTTTCATTGTTCAAAACTGAAAAATGGATACCACATAATTAAGGGACACAGTACAAAGAAAGATATAAAACAGGTCTGTACAAGACCTATTCAACTGAAAACTTGCCCCAAGTACTTTTTACTTTTAAACTCTATGTTGTAGTCTCTGGAACGTCATGCTATTCCAGTAAAACATTATGAGGCAGATTCTCCTTGTAGAAACTGGTGGCTACCTCACTAAACAACAAGCAGAAGGTCCACCACGTGCTAGCCATATCAATCAAGGTAAAGTGTCATGCCCAAGGACTCAACAACATCAACAAAACCTGGCCTGTTTCTCAGCTTCCTGAGAAACACAAACTACCATGGGTAGTCTGCATTGCCCAGGACTCAACAACATCAACAAAACCTGGCCTGTTTCTCAGCTTCCTGAGAAACACAAACTACCATGGGTAGTCAGCATTGCCCAGGACTCAACAACATCAACAAAACCTGGCCTGTTTCTCAGTTTCCTGAGAAACACAAACTACCATGGGTAGTCAGCATTGCCCAGGATACAACAGCATCAACAAAGACTGGCCTGTTTCTCAGCTTGCTGAGAAACACAAACTACCATGGGTAGTCAGCATTGCCCAGGACACAACAACATCAACAAAGACTGGCCTGATTCTTAGCTTCCTGACTACCATGGGTAGTCAGCATTGATCTACTTACATCAGATCTACACCTGAGGTTATGTAGCTAACTCTCTAGCTGACTGAGCTGTCTTGGTAAAATTCGGGAAACAAGAGATTTCCACCAAAATCCTTTATATTTTAAACAAACAAGCAACAATTAAGCTGCCACCCAATATCAAATAAATAGAACACTTTATTTTCAAAGCCACTATAGGATAGATATCTTATGGAAAAGTCCAGATCAAAGTACTTGTTGATCATGTTTGCAGTGTAAAGGATATTGATACATCTAAGTGCAAATGACACAGTGGTAGTCAACCCCACAATTAGACTACTTTCGTGCTTACATCCAGGCCAATAAAAGTGATTAATATAAGCTTAAATCTTGTTTTGCAATTGGAGTAAAATAAATAAAAGTTTATATTATATAATATCAAGTGTTGAATGTTGAGAGGGATACACTAACATGGGTTGTAACACTTGTGACATGTGGTAATGCTGTAAGGAATACTTGTAATGGAATGTTGAGACACACTAATTACAGAATTTTAAAAAATACACTTACATGATATGTTACGACACACCTGTCGCATGTGATCAAGGTGTGACAGAACTTGTTCAACACTGGCATTCTCTTTCTTTGAAGAGGCTGTTGATCCAGTCCTGAATTTATAAAATATATTTTCACTATATCATAAAACTGTATATAATTACTCAAATATCTGTCAATGATTTCATACTGATATAAAGATCATTTTAAAAATTCAATCCTTTTTTTAAGCTTTCATAATTATGTATCTGCAAAAAGGATAAGCAGAAATTATGAAAAATACAAAAAAACAAAAACTTTGTTTGTGAAAATGAGTACTAGGCTTATCTAAGAGTTTTCCTATATGTATGAATAGCAGTTCCAGATATGTCTTTCCCCAAAGTAAATTAAACAACAGTCAATCACTAATTGAACAGAATGCAGTAACTTACCTTTGTCTCTTTTTAGGGGTGTTGCTTAGTTTGTTAACTTGAGACAAGATTAGATCAGCCAATTTGTCCTCAAACTCTTGGGCCCAATATTTAAGTATAGAGACTGTGAAAAAGTCATGCTTTTTACAGTCACGGCAAAGGACTGGTCGAAGTAAGTCCGCTGAGGGTCTGTAATTCGTAAATGTAACTATGAGATTTCAAAACTAATCAACCAAAGGATTTTTTCTGGGTATCTTTAAGAAGAGGTGTATAATATTTTGGGTAAATGCATTTCAAACTTTTCCATAGATATGTCTTCTTGAAGACATTGTTGAAATGATTCAGAAAGTCAGTACTGCTGCACTTATTTGTATGAATCTGGCTTCTGCATGACCTAGAATTATAATATCAGTCCTTCATATATCTATATTGTTCGAAGATGTTTGGAGATTATGAAGGTATATACCACCTGGGTAGATACAAAAACATAAGCATGGAACTAGCGGAGTATATGACCCTGACAGACTTGGGAGTATATCACCCTGACAGACTTGGAAGTATACCACCCTGACAGAATTGGAGTATATGACCTTGACAGACTTGGAGTATATCACCCTGACAGACTTGGGAGTATATCACCCTGACAGACATGGGAGTATATCACCCTGACAGACTTAGGAGTATACCACCCTGACAGACTTGGGAGTATATCACCCTGACAGACATGGGAGTATATCACCCTGACAGACTTGGAGTATATCACCCTGACAGACTTGGAGTATATCACCCTGACAGACTTGGAGTATATCACCCTGACAGACTTGGAGTATATCACCCTGACAGACTTGGAGTATATCACCCTGACAGACTTGGAGTATATCACCCTGACAGACATGGGAGTATATCACCCTGACAGACTTGGAGTATATCACCCTGACAGACATGGGAGTATATCACCCTGACAGACTTGGAGTATATCACCCTGACAGACTTGGAGTATATCACCCTGACAGACTTGGAGTATATCACCCTGACAGACTTGGGAGTATATCACCCTGACAGACTTGGAGTATATCACCCTGACAGACATGGGAGTATATCACCCTGACAGACTTGGAGTATATCACCCTGACAGACTTGGAGTATATCACCCTGACAGACTTGGGAGTATATCACCCTGACAGACATGGGAGTATATCACCCTGACAGACTTGGAGTATATGACCCTGACAGACTTGGTGTATATCACTCTGACAGACTTGGAGTATATCACCCTGACAGACATGGGAGTATATCACCCTGACAGACTTGGAGTATATCACCCTGACAGACTTGGAGTATAGACCCCTTGGTGTATATCACTCTGACAGACTTGGAGTATATCACCCTGACAGACTTGGAGTATATGACCCTGACAGACTTGGAGTATATGACCCTGACAGACTTGGAGTATATGACCCTGACAGACTTGGAGTATATGACCCTGACAGACTTGGAGTTTATGACCCTGACAGACTTGGAGTATATGACCCTGACAGACTTGGAGTATATCACCCTGACAGACTTGGAGTATATCACCCTGACAGACTTGGGAGTATATCACCCTGACAGACTTGGGAGTATATGACCCTGACAGACTTGGAGTATATCACCCTGACAGACTTGGAGTATACCACCCTGACAGAATTGGAGACAGACTTGGGAGTATATCACCCTGACAGACTGAGTATAGACTGACAGACTTGGAGTATATCACCCTGACAGACTTGGAGAGTATATCACCCTGACAGACACCCTGACAGGGAGTATATCACCCTGACAGACTTGGAGTATATCACCCTGACAGACTTGGAGTATATCACCCTGACAGACTTGGAGTATATGACCCTACAGACACCCTGACAGACTTGGAGTATATCACCCTGACAGACTTGGAGTATATCACCCTGACAGACATGGGAGACCCTGACAGACTTGGAGTATATCACCCTGACAGACTTGGAGTATATCCCTGACAGACTTGGAGTATATCACCCTGACAGACATGGGAGTATATCACCCTGACAGACTTGGAGTATATCACCCTGACAGACATCACAGACTTGGAGTATATCACCCTGGCAGATTTGGAGTATATCACCCTGACAGACTTGGGAGTATATCACCCTGACAGACTTGGGAGTATATCACCCTGACAGACTTGGAGTATATCACCCTGACAGACATGGGAGTATATCACCCTGACAGACATGGGAGTATATCACCCTGACAGACTTGGAGTATATCACCCTGACAGACTGACAGACTTGGAGTATATCACCCTGACAGACTTGGAGTATATCACCCTGACAGACTTGGAGTATATCACCCTGACAGACATGGGAGTATATCACCCTGGCAGACTTGGAGTATATCACTCTGACAGACTTGGAGTATATCACCCTGACAGACTTGGAGTATACCACCCTGGCAGACTTGGAGTATACCACCCTGACAGACTTGGAGTATATCACCCTGGCAGATTTGGAGTATATCACCCTGACAGACTTGGGAGTATATCACCCTGACAGACTTGGGAGTATATCACCCTGACAGACTTGGAGTATATCACCCTGACAGACTTGGAGTATATCACCCTGACAGACTTGGGAGTATATCACCCTGACAGACTTGGAGTATATCACCCTGACAGAATTGGGAGTATATCACCCTGACAGACTTGGAGTATATCACCCTGACAGACATGGGAGTATATCACCCTGACAGACTTGGAGTATATCACCCTGACAGACTTGGAGTATATCACCCTGACAGACTTGGGAGTATATCACCCTGACAGACTTGGGAGTATATCACCCTGACAGACTTGGGAGTATATCACCCTGACAGACTTGGAGTATATCACCCTGACAGACTTGGGAGTATATCACCCTGACAGACTTGGAGTATATCACCCTGACAGACTTGGAGTATCACCCTGACAGACTTGGAGTATATCATGGAGTATATCACCCTGACAGACTTGGAGTATATCACCCTGACAGACTTGGAGTATATCACCCTGACAGACTTGGAGTATATCACCCTGACAGACACCCTGACAGAGAGTATATCACCCTGACAGACTTGGAGTATATCACCCTGACAGACTTGGAGTATATCACCCTGACAGACTTGGAGTATATCACCCTGACAGACTTGGAGTATATCACCCTGACAGACTTGGAGTATATCACCCTGACAGACTTGGAGTATATCACCCTGACAGACACCCTGACAGACTTGGAGTATATGACAGACCTGTATATCAGACAGACTTGGAGTATATCACCCTGACAGACTTGGGAGTATATCACCCTGACAGACATGGGAGTATATCACCCTGACAGACTTGGAGTATATCACCCTGACAGACGTGGAGTATATCACCCTGACAGACTTGGAGTATATCACCATGACAGACTTGGAGTTTATCACTCTGACAGACTTGGAGTATATGACCCTGACAGACTTGGAGTATATGACCCTGACAGACTTGGAGTTTATGATCCTGACAGACTTGGAGTATATGACCCTGGAGTATATGACCCTGACAGACTTGGAGTATATGACCCTGACAGACATGGGAGTATATGACCCTGACAGACTCGGAGTTTATGACCCTGACAGACATGGGAGTATATGACCCTGACAGACTTGGTGTATATCACTCTGACAGACTTGGAGTATATCACCCTGACAGACTTGGAGTATATCACCCTGACAGACTTGGAGTATATGACCCTGACAGACTTGGAGTATATCACCCTGACAGACTTGGAGTATATCACCCTGACAGACATGGGAGTATATCACCCTGACAGACATGGGAGTATATCACCCTGACAGACTTGGGAGTATATCACCCTGACAGACTTGGAGTATATCACCCTGACAGACTTGGAGTATATGACCCTGACAGACATGGGAGTATATGACCCTGACAGACATGGGAGTATATGACCCTGACAGACATGGGAGTATATGACCCTGACAGACTCGGAGTTTATGACCCTGACAGACATGGGAGTATATGACCCTGACAGACTTGGAGTATAGTGGGTATATACCCTGACCCTGACAGACTTGGAGTATATCACCCTGACAGACCTGGGAGTATATCACCCTGACAGACTTGGAGTATATCACCCTGACAGACTTGGAGTATATCACCCTGACAGACTTGGAGTATATCACCCTGACAGACTTGGAGTATACCACCCTGACAGACTTGGAGTATATCACCCTGACAGACTTGGAGTATATCACTCTGACAGACTTGGAGTATACCACCCTGACAGACTTGGAGTATATCACCCTGACAGACTTGGAGTATATCACCCTGACAGTATATCACCCTGACAGACATGGGAGTATATCACCCTGACAGACTTGGAGTATATCACCCTGACAGACTTGGAGTATATCACCCTGACAGACTTGGAGTATATCACCATGACAGACTTGGGAGTATATCACCCTGACAGACATGGGAGTATATCACCCTGACAGACTTGGAGTATATCACCCTGACAGACTTGGAGTATATTGGGAGTATATCACCCTGACAGACATGGGAGTATATCACCCTGACAGACTTGGAGTATATCACACTGACAGACTTGGAGTATATCACCCTGACAGACCTGGGAGTATATCACCCTGACAGACTTGGAGTATATCACCCTGACAGACTTGGAGTATATCACCCTGACAGACTTGGAGTATATCACCCTGACAGACTTGGAGTATATCACCCTGACAGACTTGGAGTATATCACCCTGACAGACTTGGGAGTATATCACCCTGACAGACTTGGAGTATATCACCCTGACAGACATGGGAGTATATCACCCTGACAGACTTGGAGTATATCACTCTGACAGACTTGGAGTATATCACCCTGACAGACATGGGAGTATATCACCCTGACAGACTTGGAGTATATCACCCTGACAGACTTGGGAGTATATCACCCTGACAGACATGGGAGTATATCACCCTGACAGACTTGGAGTATATCACCCTGACAGACGTGGAGTATATCACCCTGACAGACTTGGAGTATATCACCATGACAGACTTGGAGTATATCACCCTGACAGACTTGGAGTATATCACTCTGACAGACTTGGAGTATATCACCCTGACAGACATGGGAGTATATCACCCTGACAGACTTGGAGTATATCACCCTGACAGACTTGGAGTATACCACCCTGACAGACATAGGAGTATATCACCCTGGCAGACTTGGAGTATATCACTCTGACAGACTTGGAGTATATCACCCTGACAGACTTGGAGTATATGACCCTGACAGACATGGGAATATATCACCCTGACAGACATGGGAGTATATGACCCTGACAGACTTGGAGTATATCACCATGACAGACTTGGAGTATATCACCATGACAGACTTGCAGTATATGACCCTGACAGACTTGGGAGTATACCATCCTGACAGACTTGGAGTATACCACCCTGACAGACATGGGAGTATATCACCCTGACAGACTTGGAGTATATCACCCTGACAGACTTGGAGTATATCACCCTGACAGACTTGGAGTATATCACCCTGACAGACTTGGAGTATATCACCCTGACAGACATGGGAGTATATCACCCTGACAGACTTGGAGTATATCACCCTGACAGACTTGGAGTATATCACCCTGACAGACTTGGAGTATATCACCCTGACAGACATGGGAGTATATCACCCTGACAGACTTGGAGTATATCACCCTGACAGACTTGGAGTATACCACCCTGACAGACTTGGAGTATACCACCCTGACAGACATGGGAGTATATCACCCTGACAGACTTGGAGTATATCACCCTGACAGACTTGGAGTATATCACCCTGACAGACTTGGAGTATATCATGACAGACTTGGGAGTATATCACCCTGACTGACAGACTTGGGAGTATATCACCCTGACAGACTTGGAGTATATCACCCTGACAGACATTGGAGTATATCACCCTGACAGACATGGGAGTATATCACCCTGACAGACTTGGAGTATATCACCCTGACAGACTTGGAGTATATCACCCTGACAGACATGGGAGTATACCACCCTGACAGACTTGGAGTATACCACCCTGACCATTTCTTTCCATTACTTGTATCCCTGTTTCTGTGTCTGTTATACTTACAGTTAAATTAATCTGCTATACCCTGACAGGTGAGATATTGATATATTTTCCTGCTCAACAACTCAAATACTTCTACAATCTGACCCACATCTTGTCCCATAATATATGGTTCTGTATACTTATTTCTCTGCACAAAGTATTTTACCTGAATATCTGTAGCATTATTCTGCATCTCATCTTAGTACACTACAGTAGTCAACTCAGTCTATAAAGGCCACTCAATGGCAAAGCAAAAGATGGCCTCTATGGGCAGGTGTTCGTTTGATACTGGTGACCATTATAGGAAGTGTTTATTTATACAGATGACCTTTATAGACAGGTTTTGATTATATACATATGCCCTTTATAAACAGGTATTGGTTTATATACTGGTGGCCTCTATGGGCAGGTATTGGTTATATACTGGTGGCCTCTATGGGCAAGTGTTTCTTATATATTCTGGAGGCCATTATAGACAGGTATTGGTTGTATACTGGTGGTCTCTATGGGCAGGTGTTTTTTCTAAACTGGTTGCATTTAAAGTAAATTTTACTATACTTACTCAAAACAGACAAAAAGGAATCTTTCCTGAACATAACTAGGTGTCCCTGGAGAATCTGACAAATCAGATCTTGCAACTGAAACATATAAGATTTACGGAGTAGGAAGTATCACAGAATTGTCAATCAAAGCAGATGAAAATAATTATAAAGACTATCAGATCATAAAATATTGTGGATTAATATACTCAGATTTAATGGAAAAACAGGAGTGCCCTGGACACAATATACGCCGCCACAAAATATAAAGATCAAGATTGGTCCTTTTAATTATCACTTTTAACATGTCTGTATCATAAATCTTACAAAAATCAATGAACCATAAAATTGCCCCTTCATGCACATCTACCCATTGCAGTAGTGACATTGAGCAAGTTTCATGAAAATCTGATGATTGGTGTGGGAGGAGCTGCGTTCACAAGAAATGGACGTATGGACAGACAGACGGAGAAGATGACGCCAATATACGACCACCTCCGGTGGCGTATAATAATAACTGTGATTATGAAAGGTCTCGGATCTTTTGAATTGTTATACAAAACCTACCTGTGTTCCATCAATTGCAGAAACTATCATATTCAGTAATTCAGAGTTACCAATAGCTATTCTTGGGAACTGAAATAGTGAAAATAGGTTTTACCGAGATGTATAAAATGTTATATCAGATATATATTAATTGACATATATTTTGAATATAGCTTCAAATATTTCAATTTATCATTAATAATAATTTAAGAACCAATAAATTTCACAACAGTCATTATCATCAGTTTTATCACTGAAAATAATAAACAAATAATAGTCATTATTGAAACAGGAAAATAATATAATCCTAATAACAACCAGGATTATGTTTGAGGAACTGCTTACATTTGTATAAATATCAGGCATTATGAAAGTGAATAGTCTAATGTCATCTTCTTGTGCTAACTGAAACAAGAAAAACAATCTTTTTCAATTCACATAAACATCTTAATTATAGAGATAGGTAATTTGCTAAGTCCTTAACTTGGGAAAAACAATTAAGTTTTTTATGTTTTAATAGTGTTACATTAGCTAATGCCAAAATTTTTGAGCGTAATTATAGCTTCATTAGTTTAAATAAAAAAAAAATATTACAGTACCTATTTCCTTACATCCTTTTCTATTTCAGTGACTATCAATTTTTTTTTTTAAATTTAACATAACAATTTACAAAATAATGCTCAGGTTTCAAATGATTTTTCAAACAGTAAAGTTTCCATCTTTAACCAAGGGGTTCTTACTGCTCGTACCTTCAGGTCTGACATCAGACATGACTCCAGATCTTTGCTGTCAAGGCTTTTACAGAAATCTTTATAGGAGCTCATTTTCTCATCATTCACTTTCCTGTAATAGAGAAAACTTGTAATAAATAAACAAAGAAGTATTGACATTTATCCTAAAGTATTCAGAGAAACACCTTGAATACCCGAAGAATTGTAATAGTAAAAATGTATTTATCTTTTTCTAGTCATAGCATAATTAGAGTACATCAATGGTTACAAATCAATACAACACTCCAATTCATATCTATCTTATTCTACAATAAAAACGTCATCAAGAACCATGGAACAGTTTGAGCTTTTTTTCCTATAAAAATATTTTGCAACTAATATTCCTTTTCAAACACTCAGCAATCAGAGATACTTTTCTTAGATAGTATTGAAAAGGATGTCTAGCTATGCACACTTTTGTCTTTAGGAGACACCTACCCGACTTTAACAAAGTACAATAGGTGATAACCCATCCTTGGTTGTTTACTGTACATTTCCCCTAATAACTGCAGCACCGGTTGACGACTGGGATCCTCTTCTGATAGAGTGCATAAAAATCTACAAAAGGAGAAACCATCAGGGTATGATTACAAGGTGAGTCTGTCATAAACAGAAGACAGATCTGGCAGAGTTTTTAATGCTTGACTTGATCATGAAAGAAGGAGAAATGCTTTTTCTGAGGAAGGAGAGATAATGCTAATTTCCCCTTGAACTTACCAGCACTTGATTAAGAAAAATCGTTTTGAAGTATCTGAAGTAACAAAATGTCTCTGTGGCTTCTTATGAACTTATTTCTGAAATGTATATGATATCGTATAAAAGAATGAAGTTTGACCTTTGACACATGAATAGTAAACTTACCTAAACATGACAAACAATGGCGAACCTACTGAATCTTCTAAAGACCTGTTAAGAAAGAAATTATACATTGTAAAAGAATTCATTTCATTGTAATAAATTCCATTAAGAATATTTCTATTCATTTTTAATTTCCAATTTTACAGTTTTATCGATATATAGTGAAAATTCATAATGACTGTATAGAAACTGAATCCAAATTTTGACATTTATCATAATGATTTTCTTCAAAATTTAATTGCTTATCTGAAAAAGAATGAAGTAATAAAGCATTAAAACCTAGTAGTTTAAACAGCAAAGTTTTATATATACATGTCAGAAAGAGTTTGTGTAAGACTGCTGTTCAAATGTAGAGAGTTTATTGCACATAAATCCAACAGGATCATATGCACTGAAAACACCACAAATACAATCTCCAGGCTATACTGATAGTTTTTCATAGTTTTATACAGGATCTTGAAAATTTCTTCCACATGAGTGTGAAATAGTACAATGATGATGTTACTTACTCTTCATCTGTCTCCTGAGGAAATATTGACGTGCTGAAATGGCTGCTAAGGATCTCACAAAGACATGTAGCCAGTGGTGTGGCAGTTTCATGGTCAAATTCGTCCTGACAACAGATCAAGTTTCAGATGTAAGAATTAAATTTGGTATATTACATACAGTAAGACAATCATATGTCTATCATAACAATAATAAAATATTTTTCTTTGTGTCGGAATTTTTATTCTTACAGTTGGTATAAGCAAACCCAAAAATAAAATATGATGAATAAAAAGAAAGAATTACATGACTTGAAGTGACCATGCTTTTAGTTGTGAAATAATCATCAGATGTCTTAGATTTAAACCACAGCAAAAAATATCCAAGAACAGTTGATGTTATTTAAGCATTATTAATTGATAGATGTAATCAAATCAAACTTCAGTCACTATAACTATACATGTTTATAAGTTTACTGATACAAGTGATATATGTTACCAAAGGTAAGAAATATCTATACAAGATAATATTTTGATGTAGGTCAAATGAAAAAACTGTAACTTACTTCGTTTAGCACTGTCTGCATTATCCTATCCATGATCTCACACTGGATTTCTGGATCCCTGTAACATCAAACAACAGTTAGAATAAATAGTCACGAAAATCATCAGCAAGGTATTTCTGAGAAATTTCTGACATCAGGGTATCAAAACAAAGAGTAATCTGCCCTTACTTCTCTGCTTGTAGCTGTTCTGTGAAGTCCTGGAGGTCACCACCCAGCTGTGGAAGGATCTCTGTGATATCTACCGGTTGATAACGTGTGTCCTGTATGGGCTGGAACTTGGTTTCTGACAACTTTAATTTCCCTGTAAGAATACATAGTATCTGTAATTACATGCTTGAGTGTGTAAGTATTCTAGCTATGTTAGTAACAGTAGGTTTTTCTATATGTTTCTATAATCAATAAGATACACTTTGTTCAGTCTCCACTATGTCACTGAGAGCATGAGAGGGTATTCATTCTCATCTCGATACATTGAAAAGTTTCATTCATAAAACTTTGATTTACAAATGTGACAGTAAGTAGTGTTATAAAGGAATAAAATTTAGGGCTGGAACAAAACATTTTGATACAATGAGAAATTCAAATCATTGAAGTTAAATTTATGAAAGTGTGTCTGTATTGACAAGTATATCAATCAGATGTTTCTTTGTGGAATACATAAACCTGAAAATATAACCTGGTGGATAAAGTATCTATCTGTGATTTATGGCTATGTCTGATAGTACCTGGTACTTGAAAATTTAGATGAAACTATCGAGCCAATTCTCACTTTTTGATTATGAAGATACACAGAGCAATGGAGGTATTTGAAGCTATTGGAATGTACAGGGAAGGCATGGAGGTATATAGTGTAACGAGCTATGGCATGTAAACAAATTTATCTGTGGAAAAGGAGCTAGGGAAAGTAGAAGTGGTAGATAACACATCAATGGAGATGTGAAGACTATGTGTGGCACTATAAGAAAAGGTATGGGGCAATGAAGATGTATGCAGCTAGGGGAAGCAAGGACCTTAGGAATTGATAAAATTAGGGTGTATATATTGATTTCTGGAGATGTAAGGACCATCATGTCTGGAGCTTTGTGGATGTATGAAGCTATAGACAGCAAGGACCTTAGGAATTGATAAAATTAGGGTGTATATATTGATTTCTGGAGATGTAAGGACCATCATGTCTGGAGCTTTGTGGATGTATGAAGCTATAGACAGCAAGGACCTTAGGAATTAATAAAACTGTGAAAGATACACAGGTTTATGGAGATGTATTTTCCTTTGTGGTAGTATAGAAGTATGAAAATGAATTTTATGAGAATACCTATTGGTACATCTTCATCATCATCACTGAAGGCAGCATGGTCATCTGACAGATTGTTGTCTACATGGTTGCCATTGTCAATCTCAATCACATCTTTGTTGTTAAGAGGCTCCTCTTTGACTGAATAAACCAAAAAGTATTATGTATCTACTAACCAGATATCATAGTTTCACATTTCATTACAACATTTATTAACTTGATGTACTATTTTCACATTTCAGTACAACAGTTACTGACTTGATGTACTATTTTCACATTTCAGTACAATATTTACTGACTTGATGTACTATTTTCACATTTCCGTACAACAGTTACTAACTTGATGAACTATTTTCACATTTCAGTACAATATTTACTGACTTGATGTACTATTTTCACATTTCATTACAACAGTTACTAACTTGATGTACTATTTTCACATTTCAGTACAACAGTTACTAACTTGAAGTACTGTTTTCACATTTCATTACAACAGTTACTAACTGGATGTACTGTTTTCCCATTTCATTACAACAGTTACTAACTTGATGTACTGTTTTCAAATTTCTGTGTGTTCTTTAGTTGAAATACACACATTCAAATCAGGAAAGTCTTAGGATACCTGAAACACCTTTCAATCATGACTGATACTAACCTTCTTGTGAACAAAATTCCAGAAAGTTTTCTCTGATTAAAGCTCTTAAGTCCCGGTCAAGCTTTGGATTGTCAAATAATGGAGACAAAGACCTGTCAAAGAACCATCTCATAAGTTACCTCACATTTCCAGATTTTTGAAGTTAAATAAAGTGGACCCTTGATAATCCAGACACCTTCGTTCTTACCCAAATAGAATCAAGTGAACATATATCCAACATACAGGAGACTTATAGACTTGAAAAAAATACTAATGTAAATTAAAAAATGAAAAATATATTTTTGTCTCAATTCACTTTCATATGCATCACTTGACTAATAAGGAAATCGGTGCCATGATCTTCTATGTAAAATAAGTGGAAGCAATGAGGAAAGATATTAATCAAACTTGTATTTGTTTTTCTATGATTTATATCAAGGGTTAATTACTTTTCATCTTTATTTTATCTGCTGAAAAATTTACATTTAAAAAACATTATATCCTCATTGCTGTCAACATTCAAAATCTTTACTTAACAACTATATTTCATTCCGTATAGAACATACCATGCATAAAATATCAATTAACTCAATGTTTTCTTTACAATTAATTCATTTTGCCCTGTATAGAAGTACTCTGGACTCTGACAGGAGTGACTGCTTCAGGTGATGACCTAGCAGCAGTCTCTATGACTATGTACAGTGTCTAGCAGTATATCTCTGGCATAGGTGACTTAACACCACAAATTTTCATCACATGGTAACAAAAAATGTCTGAACTATGGTAGGAATATTACTATGAACAGCCCATTCTCTTCCCAAAATGTCAAACTTTTGGATTGCTGAGTACAATTAACTTCACAGAAATCTGTTCCCTAACATTTCTGTCTTGATTGTGAGGTTTTACACCTTTGGTATCCAGATTTTCTAGAGTTCATTAAAGTCCATTGTACACATATTAATCTTATCTTGATTAGAATGAAAGTTTTAAGAAAGAATTTTCTTTAGAAATCAAAGGATAGTTACCTTAGCTGAATCTCAATTTACATAATACAATTTTAGAACTATTTACTTACTGCAAAACTCTCTTGTCTAAAATGGTTTTTAGTGATGTAAAAATCCCCTGTTTCACATGAACTTTCAATGGTAAGCTAAAATTTGGCATTATCTGGAAGAAACAAAACATTTCAATATTTTCATCAATTTTATATTTTCATACAGGAAGTACAAGCCTCATTTTCAGGAGGTCATTTATCGCATCAGTAAACACACTTTATCAATTCTTTTTTTTTGGCAAAATATCACACAAAAATCTAGGAAATGAATTTCTGAATGCATTAAATATCTGAACGTTTTGTTTTAGTGATCACATTTTTGATAAAAAGTTGTTACTGACAACACAAGAGAGATGTTTACCCGACACAGGAAGTCCAATAGTGTGGCTGTGATGGCAGGATGGGGACGGATGGAGTGGAACATCACCAGGATAGCTGGCTCTGTAATATGGACTCATTACATATCACTTTCGCAAATCTACAAAGTTTAATCGTCTTAATGTGTAGCTAATTTTTGAAATGCTACTTTGATCATCCAAAACTTAATACAGAATATTGTATCACCATCAAAGTTCAATAACAGTGTGTGTTATTCAATTTTTTCATCAGATACTATATTCAATTTTTGTGTGGTGATATAATAATTAACTATGCAGGTTTTAGAATACATGCTGTAATTAAGGTGTACTTGTGAATATTCCAACAGATACAAGAATATGTAAGCAATTAAAACTGTACTGGTGTTGCTTCTGAAATATTACTCTCTGTCCCTGTCATGTATTTATGTATGGCCAAAATCTAGCATATCTGTTAAGTCTTAATTTTACTTTGGACATTAACACATTCCTTATATACAGAAAGTATTTACACCACATTTAAGTCTTATTATGTCTATGTGACAGGATATGGTAAACCAAAGTTGATGTCACTATCAGAGGGAAGCATGTTACGAATCCAAAGCAGCGACTATGGAGCTCTTTGTAAAACCAACATTTAGTTAATTGCAAAACATAACGAAATCTCTTATAAGTCATACTGTAGGTGTGAGGATATATATATAATAAATTCATCATCTCATACCTAACCAAGATAAGTTGTTTGGGACTCACCAATATTCATAATGCTATCTTTCTCTGGATCAAAGACAAGCCAATCATAAAACAGAGCCAGCTTGGCATTGGTAGCAGCAACATTGGACTGTAAAAATATAGATCTCAGTATAAGTAGGAGTATAAAGATTAAAACAACTAATATAGCCTGTTCTAGCATACCTCCACAGTATTTAAAGTTCTATACTGAAAACAAGATTAAAAGCACATACATATTCTCTTCTAATTTTAATTTGTAGCAGAAATTGAGCAGCTACTTACCGTACATGTGGTCAGTAACCAACCAATCACTGCCCATCGTGGAATGATGTCCGAGCAAATTAATTCATTCGGAGGATGAAACACTGCACATATATATCGTATCAAATCACATCTCAGTGACTGACTCTCTGGGGTCGACAGATACTGTAAACAAAATAATATTACCCAGAATATATGTAGCTACCCAAGACATTTTTTCTCTCAAGAATGCAACATTCATCATTTTTGTTTAATGAAAGAATTTATATTGCTAGAGGAGATATTTTATGATCAAAAATTGAATTAAAACATTATTGGTGCAAAAAGAAACCAATGCAATGAAGTATTAATAACAATCTATAATGAACACAATGATTAACAGCTTCCAGTGAAACATCATTAGATTCCAAACACATTTATCTTTCATAAATTTTACCATCTTTCAATAGTTTTCACTGCACCATGATGGCAATGGGATTTAGTTTCTGGTTTCTAGTAGTTATGACATAAATTACATTGCAAACTTATTAAAGTTAAACATTGAAGATAATTACTCAATCAGGTCATGTACCTTTTTAGACATTATGTATATTTTCATATCATGACATTTGCATCAATTACACCAACCTGTCTCTGGAACCAATCTTGAAATCTTTTATGCTGCCCAAATTTCACCTGAAATGCAAGATAAAATTCACAAAATATAATTACATATGGTCAAATTAAGTTCTTCTAATACTAATCATAAAAAGGTCATCAACTCATTGAAAAAGAAAGTTGTTAAGTGTAAATCATGTAGGTGTACTGCAGAGGCAACAGAAGTGTGAAGTGTAAATCATGTAGGTGTACTGCAGAGGCAACAGAAGTGTGAAGTGTAAATGATGTAGGTGTACTGCAGAGGTAACAGAAGTGTGTAGTGTAAATCATGTAGGTGTACTGCAGAGGTAACAGAAGTGTGAAGTGTAAATCATGTAGGTGTACTGCAGAGGCAACAGAAGTGTGAAGTGTAAATCATGTAGGTGTACTGCAGAGGTAACAAAAGTGTGAAGTGTAAATCATGTAGGTGTACTGCAGAGGCAACGGAAGTGTGAAGTGTAAATCATGTAGGTGTACTGCAGAGGTAACAGAAGTGTGAAGTGTAAATCATGTAGGTGTACTGCAGAGGCAACTGAAGTGTGAAGTGTAAATCATGTAGGTGTACTGCAGAGGCAACAGAAGTGTGAAGTGTAAATCATGTAGGTGTACAGCAGAGGTAACAGAAGTGTGAAGTGTAAATCATGTAGGTGTACTGCAAAGGTAACAGAAGTGTGAAGTGTAAATCATGTAGGTGTACTGCAGAGGTAACAGAAGTGTGAAGTGTAAATCATGTAGGTGTACTGCAGAGGTAACAGAAGTGTGAAGTGTAAATCATGTAGCAAAAACAAGAACTGAAGGTATGAGATGGCTTAAAGTATCAAGCCCCCTCGCATTCAAAGTACACTAAAGTCAAAAGATTAATCTCATCAAACTACATACAAAATACACAAGATTTTGCAAAACTTACCTTTGTAACGAGAAATACAAGTTTAGTCTCCATATCTGGAGTTAATCTACTGATTAAAAACTTCCTAGAAGTTCGCATCAACATCAGCTGCTGAACACCTACGAAAATATAAAATAACCTTCTATCAATGTTAGTATATCAGACAAAATATTTAACCCACCGTATACAAAGTATAATGAGCTGTGCCTTGACCCTTCGAAGTTAACTAAAGTCATTTATAAAATCAGACAACATAATTTACCTATCTGTCGCATTCTCTGTCAACGGATATGATCATATGCACTGGGAAAATTACATTGTATATTTTTTTGTATAATTCTGAATGCATGTTAAGCATTTGTCTTACCTGGTAATAAGATTATGATTAACACAATGAGATCTTAGTAGTGTATGTGATATTTCTGTCCAAACTGATTGATGTGTCTGAAATGTGTTTTGTTGTTCAACAACATGTTTAACCTTAAATCTTTACTTTAGCAAATATAAGTCAGTATTTCTGATAACAATGATTCATCCATCTTTTATTTTGAATCAACGCTGAAATATCTTTCAACCATTAACTTCTGTTTTGTACATTGGTGAATTCTTTAATTTCAGCAGTCCAAAGTAACAAGCTTCTGAAAAGGATACCCAGTAATTTTACATATGAAGAAATACCATTACTTTAGTTGTCTTACCTGTGAACTGTGCATGAATTGCAGAAGGGTTTTGTACCATGTCTTTCCATAATCTCTCAAAATCTGAAATCCTGGCTACATTTTGAAGCAGCCTGACAAGGTCTCTTCCAATGTGGATACAGTCTGTCCACTGGTAACATCAATACAACATCAGTATATATATGTAGGATGAATATTTACTACAAACTAATAAAATGTATCTAATTTGTAAAAAAAAATTGTACCAACCCGAATCTCTTCGTATTCACATAAATTTTTTTTATGAACAGGGATGGATACCTTCTTTTCCCAGCTGGGAATTCAAGCTGGTTTGAATCTATTGCATCATATTGCACCTTAGTATAATTAGAGACAATCTCTACATTTTCGTTCAGCTCTTTTGAAAACAAGAGAACCGAGAAGAATTTTGATGCCAGCACAAAATGATACTCATGGCTTTAATGTAAATTTGATCTATTCTTTTTTTTTTATCTGTAATACACATTGCAACATTAACATCAGGTCCCATCATGGGTTTATCCATAAAGTTTCCAGAAGATCTCTTCAAAACTTCTTGTGAAATTACAGCAAAAGTCAAAACTAAAATGGTTGATTAGCATCTTAAATTTCCAACCACACAAAATGAGGTATGCATTTAAAGATCTTTAGTTACTAAGAAATAGCAATGACAAACAATATATCCCATAATAATTTTGGCACCCACCATTGTTTGATCTTTATATGCTCTTTGAAAGTTAGATCTTTTCCCTTCTTTTCGCTTTCCTGTTTTTTCTCTTAACGCTAAGACATTTGAACATTCCTTTGCAGAAATAGCAATGATAATCTTTACCAGCCAAGTCCAAAATGGCTACCTGGAAGCCATTTTGTTCTTTTCTGATCAGTCCCAAAATCAAATGAGCACAAGGAGAGACCAAATGGAACATGTGTATGAAGTTTGAGAGATATTCATTCAGTCCTTCTTAAGAGATAGCAATAACAAACTTTTGAAGTCAAAATCCAAGATGGCTGCCTGCAGGCCATTTCGTTATTCTGATCAGTTCCAAAATTACATGAGCACAACTAGAGTCTAAAGGAAACCTACATATGAAATTTTAGAGAGATCCTTCTCTTACTCTTCAAGAAATAGCGATAACAATCTTCAATGAAAAAAATCCAAGATGGCTGTCTGTCAGCCCCAAAATCAAACAAGCACCACTAGGGAGCAAGGGGAACCTACATATGCAATTTGAGGAAGATCCATCTAGTACTTTTCATGAAATAACAATAACAAAAATTGTTTATAGACGAATGGACAGACCACAGATGCAGATCGATTTGATGATGATGACTAAACTAAAAATGATGGACTGATAGACAAGAGAAGAAAGGTGTTTCATTTTGAAATGCCTTCAGTCATCATATGGTGGGTAAAAATCCACAAAAAGAGGCTTTAATTGATCATCTTGTTCAGTTCCTTTTCTTTCTTTTTTTCCCTGCTAACATATTTGACAAATTTTTACCTGTAAGTCAGTTACAGTTAGCTATGTACAGGTCTCATGTTCCTTTAAAAGCTGTTTGCATTTTTCATTTTTAAAACAGGACAAGATTATTTATTTCAAAAGTCTATATGTTCTTCATGTTAACACAAAGTTATTAGTATGAAGAAGCTGATAATCTTTCTTCACATCCTGACATGACTAATTTTGTACCTTCTGGATTCATTCCATTGTTAGAAGAAAATGTATGAAATGCATGTATTAGCATCTGACCTTTTTGAGTTGGTCAAGATAATGAAATTTATCAAAGTAAAAATAGGTCTATGTACCATCATTCATCAGACGAAATATTATAGCTCATGGATGTAAATTTTCATTTTAAAAACTATCACTGCATTATGACCTCTGTGACTTCAAAGTGGATCAGCTGATTTATTCCTATTAAGATAATTTTACTGAACGAGCTCATTACTTTAGATATATTTTGTGATACTGAAAGTCATATATTATTAGCTGAGTTTGATGATCCGTAGTAAAGAGCAAGTTTCATTCTATCCAACTATTTCTGACTTTTGAGTTATCCAGGAGTTACCAAAAAGCTACTACCAGTGATATGACACTGAATAGACAAGTCAATGGCAGATTCAGCATAAACACACAAGTTCTGAGGTACTTTCTGTCCACTTTTCTAAAAACATAACTCCACTTGAAAAAGATTTGCCAAACATCATTAATATAACTTTCTGTTTTACCTTTTCTCGTAAGAGACTTATACAGAGTTCCACTTCCCGTGGTCTTAAATTGACAAACATTGGTCCGTTGTGGTCCTCAATCACACGTAGATATGTGTACACAACAGTAGCTATCAGAGACGGAAACTTGTCTAGCCATGATCTGACAACATAAAAATTTCATTTTTGGTAAATCAATATACTTTAATATTCTCAATAACATGTTATACCAATAAAATAATTTCACAACAATTTTTAACTGGTATGAACACATACTTGTCAAAAAACAAAATCCGAAGAGTCATTGTACACAAGACATTCTAACACTGAGATACACCTTAGAATGACTCCTTTTATTGAGCCCTACATCATGGAAACTTTCAAACTTCAGATTAAGTCTACAATTATTATGAATATTATGACTTTTTTTTTTAACATGAATATCACTCCTTACTGAATTTTTTTGCTTTTCTTAAACTTTTTTTTTTCTTTCTTAAAGCTGCTGCAGATTGTTTACATTCTAAAGCATATCCTGAAAACAGTTTGAAAGATAAATGGGATCCTAGTTTTCATTTGACATATATACCTACCTATTTTCTGTAAATACATCAAGCATATTTTCTGTCAGCCAAATATTCTTCTGAGAAACATCTCCACCTGCAAAAGTAAACAGAAAGAGCAATGGTTGCTCCATATATATAATACTGTAATAAGCTTATCATATTTTAATTCATTTTCAAACACATGTACTTTAAATCAAAAAGTTAATCAACAATTAAGATAAAAGGTAACGTTTAGTCATTAAAAGCACTAATGCATTAACTTTTTACCCCGCTTAAAGCATCATCAGTTCTGTATTTATTGTATTATATCATTACTCACCTGCTATTTGTCTGAGTAGACTGAGACAAACGCTTTCTGTTCCATTTACTGAACTTTTCACAAGTGCCCTCACCAACCAGATTACCTAATCAAAATCAATAATCATAACACTGTCGTGTTTTCTAATTCATACAAAATGCCAGAGAACTGTTTAAGCAGAAAATTTGTAACATCTGTATCCCATGATTTCCAACTTTGTTGGAACTATTCCATGTCAATAAGTAGTATGTCATTTTGTGAATTTAGAATTATAATTTAATTTTTTTAATTGCCAAAAATGCAAAACAAACAGACAGAAAAATAAATAAAAAAATGATAAAAAAAAACGAAAACACAAACAAAAAACCAAATGTAGAAAACTTTAAAATTCCCTGTCTGTATAGTACATTGAATCATTATTTACATGTAAATAGTAAAAATTTGTTTATAAGAAACTAAACAACAATATGAGGACCACTAACCTGAACCCGGGTGTTGTCCAGAAGTTTCAACCATTTTTCAAATATCAACTGGTTTGTATGTCTGAGGACAAGGGACATAGCATCTCTACTGATCAAAGTCATGTCCCGATAACTCTAGAAAAGGTCATCATTGAAATATAGAAACTTAGATAAACACATATTATTTTACCAACCTGAATAAAAAAGCAAACTTGTAAATCATCAAAAATGAAACACCTGAAAGGTTTAATATGAAGTAGAGATTTTCTCACTCTGACAAATACACATTACTAATATTCATTTATCAATTAATATAAGAATATGCAATATCATTAACGAGTGTTTACCAATTAAAGTTATGTAATTAGATAAATATTTGAAATCCTCCATACTCCATTAAACGTGGGGTAAAATAACGAATATAAAGACAATGATATGGTTTCCCTGCGTTATAATTGTCACCTTGACAGATGCTGCAGGGTCAGTAAGGATTGCATATAGCAAACCCAGTTGTACTTCCTCATGCTGAGATGGGCCTTTTGATACCTGAAAAATCAACAAAAATAATTCCTGAGATCATATTAAATATGAATGAAAACATTTTATGAACTTTTTGATTGTACTGCCCAATGCAAGTTTTTAATCATTTTTGCATTTATTGAATGATGAAATTTAGCTTGCATACTTACATAAGAATTGAGTGCATCATTTGCCTCCCTGTCGGACATTCCATTTCGAATATTGTTAACAACATTGTAACATTGCTCGAATCTCTGAAAAATATGTGGCATTTAAATTACAAAAAATAATTAATTGTAACTAAACAGGTACAGGAGATAACCTCTATAGGGTATATATTTTTTTCAAAAGAACATCATTGTGATCTGAACGAGAGATGACATCAGAAAATTTATATGTGCACATGGTTGACCGACGATCAGTTCATTAGCAGCAAATTAATAATATCTAAGCTCAAGATTTTATTTGACAAAACAAAGGGTCATTAGTAGTCTCACAGCTAACAAATATCATTTCTTATGTCCATCAAACAGCAGCTGCAGCCATATAGTGGAAAAAGCTCTAAGCCTAAGTATATTTACAGATTTAATGCAAGAGGTTTCAGCTGCTGCTTAGAGCAGTGTTAAAGTATTATTGTCATTACAAACTGGAAACAGTTGAAAAGCATATTCTAAATGTACTTAACGATATCAATCATTTCAATAACTTGCTAATTCCTGTTTTTGTACATACATATCCCGGCATTATTTTTTATGAGGAAATGGTATTTTTATACCATCAGAAAATGTTTGCCAACGCGATAACTTTCTCCTCCAATCATCATTAGCTTAAACAAGATACTATTTACGAGTATGTAATGTTCTTGAAACAGTATTGCAATGAAACCAAATGCGTTTCAATTGCTCTACTGTTTTGTACAAAAAAAATCGTCACTTCAAACTTTTGTCACCTCGTTTAAGTCATCCTTTGGTTCCAAAACAGTTGTAGCTACAAGTTTAGATTGCGTCAACTTTGTCGATTGTTCCATATCTTCATGTGAGTAAAATCCTCTGCGGGTAATGAAGTCATTTTGTTTCAACTAACGCTGTGCATTGCACTCCATTCCCATTCTCCGATGGGATCAGGGGCAGTAACTCTAAAAGTTTAAATGGACCGCCATGTTGACACCTTTCAGTGACAAAACTATCAAATTTCAATTCACGGCAGCGATCAATAAAGCATCTTGATGTCTTAAAATGTCCCTTGTATGACTATCGCGTTCACAAATTGTATTGCAGGGCAAAACATAAACTATATATGAAAGAAACGCGACTTTTTCTTCTATGCAAAAGCTCTCCGCATGCAGGGGCCGTAATTAGGTCAAATAATGTCGCTAGAGTAAACGAAGACAAAATCATCTCAAAAGTAATAGAATGCCAAATAATTATACATGAAATACCAAACAATTATGCTTGACGAAAAGCTATTTTCATATTATTTAATGCACCAGCAAATACGAAACTATGATTTTACGACATACGCATAGACCGGCATTTTCCGGGAATCGCATTTGCATGAGGCCGAACCATATGATGATGCAATATTGTGAATTATAGTCTTTATAAAAGCACGTCAGAAGGACATATCGAGTGTAATAGTGCAGTTCGTATGATGGCAGAAGAGGCGACGGCAAAAATGGAAAGTGTGAGCTTAGGTAAGTGGGATACTAGTCCTAATGTCTAGCTAACACCCCAAGTGACACGTGCAACAGCTGTAACGGTAATAGCCCCAGCTCATACTACGGTCATTTTTAGGTATGAAGATATGATTATACCTACTGTTTTCAATTTGTGTAAATTATTTTTTTCTGAACATTTATTTAAACACACACAACGTATCTATACCATGCCCATATTTTCTGATTTCAGGCGAGTTATACACGTCTGAAAAGCGTGGATCAGATGAGAGTGGTGATGGTACAGAGCAAAATCCTTTCAAGAGTGTTATACAGGTAGGTCTTCTGCGTGATACTGTTCTGATAAGTCTAGTGTTTGAAAGCGTATTTTGGAGCCATTTCACATTAATTTGTCTTCGTTTTGAGTATATTAATTAAGTTATGTCAAGTCAGTGATAGAATATTTTCATTTTTCAAATAAGAAAAGAAGTTTAACGATATTCATAAAGATAGCTAGTTTTCTACTTTCATTCCATGCCTCGATTACATGTCAGCATGACGTGTGCCTAAATAAAACACAGAATGATGGGGGGTGCCAGGTTTGATTTTAGCTGCCAGTTCATCAATGGAGATTACTGACATAATATAATTTTCCATAAAACTATAAAGTTTCTTATTAATTTAAGTCTCTTAAATGTTAATTTTGGCAATACTTTTTCTTGTGAAAAAACATGACAGGCATAAGTATAATTGTGATGTGACCTATATTGTTAAGTGGTATCTGATAGGATTGATATCATGATGCAACTTCAAGAAATTCAGTTATAACAGTCTGAAAGACAAATTGACTGACAGTGTTTCAGGTATACATTTATCATTGCTATATCATAGAAAAAAAATCACTAGTTTGTAGTTGGGATCCAAATACATATAAATAGAAAGGACTGATTCATCAGGAAACTAAAATTGTTGGTCCATACAGGATCACTGTTGTGTAACAACTCCAAAGATGTGTCTTTTTTCTGCTTGATTTTAGAGCCCCATTAACTCCAAATGGCACTTTCTCTAATGCAATGGTGCATTATTCATTCAAAGTGTATGAGTCAGCAAAATAGAGTGAAAAGGAGAGAGAAAATACACTTTCAGTTATTAAAATATAGTGTTGTGTTTTGTTTCTGTTCCCATTTTGAAATTTTGTCACACTTGTTTTTTCTCAAATTTAAAGCTACAGACAAGATAATAACATTTCTTAGATGAAGAGTAGTGTAAAATATTCTGATACTCTCTGTCACCTTCTAAATATTAGTCATGTGTTGAGGGCCAGATCAAGTCAAAAAGTCAACAGAATATAGAATAATTCAAACTATTTGAAAAGTGTTAGTATCTATCCAGAAGAATCTTATATAACAATGAATCCCACAGGGTATAACTTGGATTACTTAAAACTAATAATATCAAATTATCTAATAAATTAAAAACAAGAACTATATATACTGAAATGAAAGAGGCTCATTTGTGCTTACAATGTATGCAACCCAGGGAAGCAGTTTCCTTCTTGAAAATAATCAGCCATCATTGACAGTTTCATTCATGATAGAGGCAATTTGGCGGTGGAGGGGGGTAATAATGCAATTAATTACAAAAATCAAATTTGATATTTAAAAAAATAATGAATTGATATGATATGATTTTACATTAAAACTGAACTGTGAAAATAACTGGTTTTAGATCTAAATAGGTCCCAGATGGTCAATTTTACGAAACATATCTAAACAGATATGGTATTTGCTATTGTATGTGAACATTATCTTAACATGTACATATATTACATAACATCTTCCTCTGAACAAAATACTATCCCTGTAACATTTTTTATGACTTCAGATAATATTGTTTGTAGATGTTCAAAATTTGTGTTTAATGTCAACAGGCAATGCGACATGCAGGGAAGGAACCTTTTCCGACTATTTTAGTTGATGCTAAAGAGGAAGGAAAGGTAAGTCTTAGACTAGAATATAGTTACAATATAAGCTGATTTATCTATGTATAATGTCATGTGAGAATTCTTTTCATCAGAGATTTGTGATATTGGAAGATTTATGATGTGAAAAAGTAACACAGAAAATGTTTTGTTCTCATTTGTAAATTTATAAATGACATCTAGCAAGGTAGCGACACAATGGGTGATTCTTTTGTCACAAGTTTCTAGACTGGGAATGTGCTGCCAGTCAGAGTTCTTTGAGGTGTTACAAATTATTCACAACTTTTTTATATTAGATGCTGATAACATATCTATGCTAAATAAGGTTGTTATGAAATAAATTTGTATCAACTTGTTTCATCATATGAGATCATTGGTGAAAAAACAAAACACGTTTTCAAAAGGATCAAATGAAAAACAGGTACTATGAATAGATAAACACATGTACACAAAGGCACAATTTCATCTCAAAGTTGATGTAAAACATAGAAACTTGTGCTGGGGTGATACCAAAACAGAATGAAATGTACTGAATATACCAAGAGCTTGGATTACTCCCATTAAAAAACAGATTGAACTGTAGCTGAGAACACATCAAAAACAAAATAGATCAATTGTCCCATCAATCCCTTTTTACAGCACAAACTGGGAACACATAAAATCTATCAATTCAGCTATGAACCCATTAAAAAATGAAACTGAGATGATGTCTAAAATATTAATTAAGATTTCATTTGTACAATGGAGTCACAATTCTCGAACATCTGAAGGAGAAAAAAAAAGAATTTACACATTGTTCATGTCTTAACCCGTGATGTTTTGTTATAGAAAGCCACAATGATTGAAGACATATTGATGAAAAACAGAAATCTTGGTGAAATAGTAATAAATGTGCATAGAAAATCATGTTAAGTTTAATACACTTGGGTAGTACATCAATTGTTACATAACAAGTCAATGTAGGAAAGCTGGGTTGTTCCCTCTGAGAAAAGGAAAGTTAAGCATGGAAATAACATAAATGTCTTCCTTATACATTGCTACTTGCTACATTCCCATGACCATAGATAATTCCAAAGTACTTCTTTCTTTATCTTAGAATACAACAGCTGGAACACAGTGAATTGTGTAAATATATTTTACTTAGAAATTTTTCTCATCAACTGGTTGTTTCTTTCAAAGACATGGGAACCAGTGGCAAAATCGCAACTGAAGAAGCAGCAAAAGATCTGGCAGAGAGAAAAGAACAAAAGTTCAGAAAAGGACAAGAAGGAAGTAAGTGTAATGTTAATGTATGAATGTATCGTAATTGTTTGGTATGCACATCACAGCTGATTTATTTTTATATTTGTCTGTCATTCAGATGACACATTTGTCAACTTATTCTCCTGACGTGCCAAATTTTTACAGGAGAATATTTTTCATTAAAAATTTTATCATGAAATAGTTGAATAAATTTGTATATTGAGATATGTCTCCAGGACTTGATCAGGATACTTAAGTTTTAAAATATGTTATTTCAGATATTGGGTTTCTCAATGCGGCATTACCATCAATGTTAGGCATCATTGATAAAACCTTTATCACTGATAAATTGTTTTTTGTGTACTAGGCAGAAGATGCAGAAAAAAGAGAGAAAAACTTAGAGGAAGCCAAGAAAATTGTGATAACTCAAGATGCCAGTCTTCCAGATCCTAAAGAGGTCAGAATTATGTTATCTATGTCAATATTTGATTCGTCTTACTGAATAATAATAATGAAAAAAAAAGCACTATTAAAATATGTAGACATATTACATGTTTATGTGAAGGAAAAAGGAAAAATCCTTTGCTGTCAAGTGTCTGGGTGGGAATTAAGCCTGAGTCTCAGGGTTCGATCTAGGGCTCTACCAACTGAGCTAAAGAAGTATATTCGTAGATATAAGCTGGGTGACATTAACAGTAGATGATAGTATTGAAGTTTTCACATGATTCTTTGTGTGCTGAAATTAAGGCTTAGTTCTTGTTTAAATTCTATACAAATTGAAAAAAATGATTGAAGTTGAAAGAAGTTAATGACTTGATAAAAACACTTCAATTTTGCTGAATGAAATTGCTGAAAATGAGAAATGGAAAATTAGCAATAATCAAATGTTTGATTCTCAGATAAAGATTCGAGATTCCGTGGCTAACAGAGATGTTCGTGTGAAGATTTTTGGCTGGATACACAGGATCAGAAGACAAGGTCAGTATATTCAGGCTCCTCATTCAATGTATTTATCCGACAAATGTCTGTGCCTGGTAATTAGCCCATCAATATGTGGTAGAATTTCAGACAAATGCTATTTCAGACTAGGAGTCATGATTTGTATGTTGGTCCCCTAGGCCTATAACAGCAAGGATAAAGAGGTTAAAGGGAAATCTTTGCTCATTATGAAAAGTGGACTTATACATCTACTTCTATGACTTTTGTCCAGGCATATACCAGGTGTATTGCCAAGAGGGTGGATTTGTCTAAAACTGATCATTTTACAGCAAGCCAAATTTTCGTTCAATAAAAAACATGTAGCTTAGTCTACAAGACAGAATGGTTAAGGAAGTTAGTCTGCAAGAAAGAAGGGAGAAGGAAGTTAGTCTGCAAGAAAGAATGGTTAAGGAAGTTAGTCTACAAGAAAGGAGGGTTAAGGAAGTTAGTCTACAAGAAAGGAGGGTTAAGGAAGTTAGTCTGCAAGAAAGGAGGGTTAAGGAAGTTAGTCTACAAGAAAGAATGGTTAAGGAAGTTAGTCTGCAAGAAAGAAGGGTTAAGGAAGTTAGTCTGCAAGAAAGAATGGTTAAGGAAGTTAGTCTACAAGAAAGGAGGGTTAAGGAAGTTAGTCTACAAGAAAGAAGGGATAAGGAAGTTAGTCTGCAAGAAAGAAGGGATAAGGAAGTTAGTTTACAAGAAAGGAGGGTTAAGGAAGTTAGTCTACAAGAAAGAAGGGATAAGGAAGTTAGTCTACAAGAAAGGAGGGTTAAGGAAGTTAGTTTACAAGAAAGGATGGTTAAGGAAGTTAGTCTACAAGAAAGAAGGGATAAGGAAGTTAGTCTACAAGAAAGGATGGTTAAGGAAGTTAGTCTACAAGAAAGGAGGGTTAAGGAAGTTAGTCTACAAGAAAGGAGGGATAAGGAAGTTAGTCTACAAGAAAGAAGGGATAAGGAAGTTAGTCTACAAGAAAGAAGGGATAAGGAAGTTAGTCTACAAGAAAGGAGGGTTAAGGAAGTTAGTTTACAAGAAAGGATGGTTAAGGAAGTTAGTCTACAAGAAAGGAGGGTTAAGGAAGTTAGTCTACAAGAAAGAAGGGTTAAGGAAGTTAGTTTACAAGAAAGAATGTTTAAGGAAGTTAGTCTACAAGAAAGGAGGGTTAAGGAAGTTAGTCTACAAGAAAGGAGGGTTAAGGAAGTTAGTTTACAAGAAAGGAGGGTTAAGGAAGTTAGTCTACAAGAAAGGAGGGTTAAGGAAGTTAGTTTACAAGAAAGAAGGGTTAAGGAAGTTAGTCTACAAGAAAGAAGGGATAAGGAAGTTAGTCTACAAGAAAGGAGGGTTAAGGAAGTTAGTTTACAAGAAAGGAGGGTTAAGGAAGTTAGTCTGCAAGAAAGAAGGGATAAGGAAGTTAGTCTGCAAGAAAGAAGGGATAAGGAAGTTAGTCTACAAGAAAGGAGGGTTAAGGAAGTTAGTTTACAAGAAAGAATGGTTAAGGAAGTTAGTCTACAAGGAAGAATGGTTAAGGAAGTTAGTCTACAAGAAAGGATGGTTAAGGAAGTTAGTCTACAAGAAAGAAGGGATAAGGAAGTTAGTTTACAAGAAAGAATGGAGAAGGAAGTTAGTCAACTAGAAAGAATGGAGAAGGAAGTTAGTCAACTAGAAAGAATGGAGAAGGAAGTTAGTCAACTAGAAAGGAGGGTTAAGGAAGGTGGCAAATCAGATTTCCATATTTTGAAAAGGGAAATTTTCTTTTCTTTAGCGTTGTGTTATTCAGTGTCTGAAGTTTCCAGCTGAGCTAATCATAATAAAGCAAAACTCAAGACTAGCAGTATAAGTAGTTAGATATACTTTGTTAATGAAGGTGAAATTCTAGAGTAGAATAAGATCAGTGTTAAAGAAAACAAGATTGATCTTTAATGATTTTTTCTCAGAATTTTGCAAAATATTTACAAGTGCTAGGTGAAGGAGTTTTATACAGAATATACAATATCTAAAATTGGTGGTTGCTAAATAGATTCAAAAACATGAATTTGTCACATTTGGTTATTTATAACAACAAGTAGTAAAAAAAATGTTTATTTTTTATAGGCAAAAATATGATATTCGTCGTTCTGAGAGATGGCACAGGATTTTTACAGTGTATTTTGTCTGATAAATTGGTAAGCCTTATTTCTGGACATTTCATTGCAGATTTTCATTTAAAAAATTTTTGAAGACAACTAAATGAACCTCTTTTTTCATTTAAATAATATTTATTGATGATATTGGTAACAGTTGACATTGATAAGTCATTATCCAGGGTATGATGTGGTAAAATCTAGTTTCATACAAAAATTATTTAGACATCCAATCAGCACTTTATAAAATCCAATGTTATGCCCTATGCTACTCTGTGTGACTCTTTCACTTTATCCTTTGGTTGTAAATGTGAATATTTTAACCACACAGTGTCATACATATGATGCCCTGCTGCTATCCACTGAGTCTGCTGTTTGTATCTACGGTATAATCACTGTTGTTCCAGAAGGGAAAACTGTAAGTTAATTTGTATCCTCAAGGTTGTTACAGAACAGTATTTATAAGGCACAACCATCGGATCAAAACATAAAATCTATTTAAAAAAATTTGAAGATACTGATTTTTCGAAAAATGTAACATAGAATTGCACCTGCATGTTATTTCATTCAATTTGCAAAAAAGCTTGGAAATATTTGAAAAGTTGTTTCAATTATCAGTGTTCTGAGATTTGATACAGGTGACTGGTTTTACAAATAGCCAGCTAACTAAACATTTTCTATAAAATTCGAAAGTTCAGAGTTAATGAATAACAGGCTGCATTTGCTAGCAACCACTTATAACAAGAACACTACTTGTGACTTGCTTTTATTTTCAGAAAGTTTTGTTGAAAATTAATTTGTTGTTTGGATAGTATATAGGTATCTATAGGTAGTATATTGTTGTAGGCCCCTGATGGACATGAACTGAATGCTGATTTCTGGGAACTAGTAGGGGCATCACCTCCAGGAGGAGCTGAAAATGTCCTCAACGAGGTATGATATAAGACAGGAAATCTATATTTTGATATTGCTGATGTTTTTTTATCATTGGTATTACAAAGAAATTTGAGCTCTAAAAGATATATTGCCTGTCAATTTAAATTTTACTGATTATAAATTGTCAATTACTTCTTGGTAAGTTACATCCACTTACATGAGAGTAAATAATGGTGATATGTATGTACATGTATAGTGAGGAACTTATCTTGAGCCTTGAGAATTCATACTGGATGTTGTACTGTTATTTATTAGGTAAAAAGCCTGTGAATGTAAATCCAACCATATCATTTATTGTCTTGCAGTAAGCAACTCACTACCCCCATCAATCCCACACCCATTTATTTCTACTATACAGAATTGTAAACCAATGCAGAGTCATTCATTGTCTAGCAATAAGCAACCATTCTCCTCTTCTACTCCTCAAATTTAAGTTAGAACTGGTTTTTTTGTAAGGTAAATAGTTTAATTTGTTTTTGTCATCCAAAACATTTGAGGTATCACTGTAATCGATTTTGAAATAAAAGATTTTAAGTACTGTCTTAAAACCAAAGCTGAGTTGTTCTTAATTTAGATCAAATTAAAATGACATAAAGTTATCTGTAAGGGATAAAGACTCTGAAGTCACCCACAAGTTCTGTAGCCCCTGAGTACATGTCTTAATGCCTTGCTTATTACAAAGATTATTTGTTATCTGGAGAAAAGATAATCCCACAACTTATAAATGAGATTTGTTACTTGTAGGATGCCAATGTAGATGTTCAGCTTGACAACCGCCATATGATGGTGAGGGGAGAGAACGTAAGTATGCTTGTCTATATGTGTAGGAGACATTTAGGCAGTTGTTATAATAACCCGTAAAACATTTTATCCAGTAGTTCTATTAGATAATGATTTCAGTTTGATATCAGTTGTCATGAAAAGTGACACGAAATACTTCTCATAATGCATCTGTTTAATACATAGTGATTCCAACTCTATTTTAGTTTTTTTTCCATTACAGACATCCAAGGTACTAAAGATGAGATCAGTGGTGATGCAGTGCTTCAGGGATCACTATTTTAACAGGGGATACTTTGAGGTGAGGGAAAAGTTTTCACGTTCACAAAGATTGATTGAGAGCTATTTTTTTTTCTCTTTTATGGAATGAAATGAATACCCCAAAAAGCTGTATAATTTGCCTGTACTTAAATTAATCATGCATAGATGCATAACATAAACTGACTTCTTGTACAGCTGTACCTTTCAAAAAATGGGAACATGAATTGAGTACATTAGTATTCTTAACTGATCCATAAATACTTGACAGTGTATGTTAACTTTTCTGTTTTACAGGTAACTCCGCCCACTCTTGTGCAGACCCAAGTCGAAGGTGGTTCTACTTTGTTTAAATTGGATTATTTTGGAGAAATGGTAATTTTCTCTTGCACTTCTTGAATCAAAACTTCCATTTTGGCTTTATTTGACATTTAATTTAGATTAACCAAGATGAAAATAACTAATTTCATACATATTTTTTTGTATATCTGAATATTTCTTTATAATTTTTATGCCTCGTCATTTCAAAGGAACATACACCTAGGTAATGTTACCCATCTTAGTCAATCCTTTTGCATCCCATTTCTGGTTAATTTCATATCTTTATAGAAACTCTCAAGAGATTTGGTTCATATTTACTCCGTAATATCCTACTATCAAGTTCTGCTTCTGATTTTATTTATTTGGTCATTGGTCAAAGTTTAAGGGTTAAAGGTCACATTTTACAACTTTTGAAACTTCCTCAAACAAGGAAACTTGTATGCATGGGAGTAGTGGAATTCAAGTCTTACAGATATATATTTCAGTTTTACCTCTGATTGATTTAGTTAAATTAATGTTTTGGCCATATCATTCTCAACTTTTGAATCTGTTAATATCATAAAAAAATTTTAATTCATGATTGTGTTGAAACTTCTATTTCTAGGCCTACCTGACTCAGTCTTCACAGCTGTATCTGGAGACAGTGATACCATCCATGGGTGATGTGTTCTGTATCGCACAGTCCTACAGGGCTGAGCAGTCGCGTACAAGGAGGCATCTTGCAGAGTATGTACACTGTCCATATGTATTTACATTACAATACTGCTGATTAATAGACTTTACTGGCACTACTGTGTTTATGACAATAACATGTTGCTCTTGTCATTTATTTTATTCACTCAATCATATAAGATGAGGTTTTTCACTCAAAATAACCAGATTTCTTATTGAAAATGCCCAATCTGTTCTTGGTAATGTAAAACATAAATGATAAATTATTTTCTGCTGATAGATAAAGTAAATACATCTGTAAAATGCCATTTAACAGGGTTTCATTGGGTCTGCCAATAGGTCTAGCTACTCTTATTGCAGACAGAAAACACTTTGATTATTTGAATAAACCTAAGACTACAGCACAGAATTTGACATAAAATAACATTACAATTGGTACAAAGGTTGATTTAAGAGATTTACATTGATGCCATTTAAGTAAGTATTGAGTTGAAAAAGTTGTTTATTGCAGAACAAGTTCATAATCTTCCATTAAATGTAGATTTTATACATTGAAACTCAAATCCTCTTTCGTCCAATTCCAGGTACACACATATAGAGGGTGAATGTCCTTTTATCACTTTCGATGGCCTGTTGGATAGACTTGAAGATCTTGTTTGTGATGTTGTAGATAGAGTTCTAAAATCTCCATATGGAGATATTGTCATGGAACTCCACCCGGTAAGTTCTAATAAAATCAGCATATTATGGTTGGTTAAAGATTTCCCCCCTCTATTGCTCTTCCTGTCACTGAGCATTGTGTTACTGTCGAATATCAGTGATTTAGTGATGGGAGGGAACCATATTTACTGAAGTCTAGCCTTTAATACCTAGTAGTAACAAGAGGAAGTTCAAAGTCCTAATGGTGCCTCTTTGGGGATAAATTTCATTTTTCCAACATTCATAACGCCATAACAACATTGAGCTTCTGGACATATATTCCATTCATGATGAATGTGTCCAGAAATTCCATGTTGTCTGATCTAAGGAATGTTGGGGTCACCTGTCCCACCATGTGGGTTTTTCCTGGGTATTCTGGTTTCCTCCTACAGAAAAACCTCTCACACAATTCCATCTGGACCAAAAACAGAGATTATTATAAGATGGAAAAAACTTGTTTTGGTCATACCAAATGTAAAAATATATAATTTCTTTAGAGTCATTAGTAACCTCTGGGAATCATGAAGAGGGTGAGGCTTTATCAGTTTGTGTGAAGAATTCTTAAGTCTCTTATTCTTCAACCCTCTGGATCAGTGTATTATAGAAGAAGAAACTCGTACATAAGTGTATATATGATGAAAATTCACGAGCAATGTAATCATCTTAAACATGAAAACCCCATTTGAGATAAAAAAAGAAAATGAGTGGTTTTTATTGTCATTTCAAACTTGTTAGAAACTCCACATAGACCAAAATACAAATACTTGCATTAATCAGAATTTTTTTCTATAGGAATTCAAACCACCAAAAAGGCCTTTTAAGAGAATGCCTTATGCTGATGCTATAGAGTTTCTTCGTGCCAATGATATCAAGAAAGATGACGGGACATTCTACGAGTTTGGGGAGGTAAGAGGTTTTCTTTAAAAGCATTAATCATTGAAACAATTCGAATTATTCATTTTCAGAAATAAAAAATCCTTACTTGATGGTACTGGCTTTACTCCATTTCTGTAATGTAAAAATTCTTTCTTAATTTGATTTCTATATTTCTTCATTTCAGATATACTTCTTTGATAAAGAATGGAAAGTTAAAATGATTTCAAATATCATACCAGATGAAGTTGTATGGATAATAGGTCTTTGAAATAGTGTGTTCCATTATACCTGATATAAAATAGTGTATTATACATGAAATCTGTTTTTCGTACAAGAGTAAGTCAGAATGTCACATCTGCCACAGTAATAATCCTGGCTGTGATTTCGTCAATACATTGTATTGCATTTCTACCTAATAATTGGATACAAATACAAAACTGTTACTTGGTTTTTAGGTGTACAATGATAATAATATATTATGCAGATGAAGCTCTGACTTGGTTTTGGTCAATTATTTTTATCAAGTGTCAAGGCAGTTTAAGAATTTTCATTAAATTTTTCACAAAAACAATAAACCAAAATTTTAGAGCTGTGCTTAACTCTAATGGGAATTAGAAAAAAACAAGAGACAGTCTTTCATCATATTATAGATTGTGAAGGTAAAATTGCAGTTTTATTTCATAGTAATGAGTACACCTCTTCACAAAGCCATTAATTCATCAAAAAATTTAAGTTTCTCCTTGGATGCCGACAAGAGCATCAGTGTCCCTCCAACATATCTAGTTTTAATTCAGAATTGATAATGATACCTATACTTTGGTTGATAATGGATGAACCTGATAATACTTTTGATTTCCAGGACATTCCAGAGGCTCCCGAGAGGAAGATGACAGATATGATTAATGAGCCCATACTGTTGTGTAAATTCCCAACAAACATCAAGTCTTTCTACATGCAGCCCTGTTCTGATGACCCCAGACTTACTGAATCTGTAAGTATCCTTTTAAGAATCTTGTACTCCCTATATAACTGCTCTTGATGATTATTATAGTGAAATATAAGTTTGTACAGTATGTCTAGTAGCAAAATATTTATGCACGTATCTCCTATTTGTTGATCAAGGCTTTTTCTGATTGGTCAGTTTACTCTGACATATTTACAAAGGAGTTCGCTGTTTGTTACAACTTGTATTTATTTGGTAAAGACATATGTAAATGACACAGTATAGATAGAGGATTAATTTGTTTTTCAGGTGGATGTGTTGATGCCGAATGTTGGGGAAATTGTTGGCGGGTCTATGAGGATGTGGAAACATGAACAGCTGATGGAGGGATTCAAGAGAGAGGGCATTGATCCCTCCAACTATTACTGGTACACTGATCAGGTAAAGTGTCCTATATCTACCCAAATTATACAGTTCCCTCTTTCTCTGTATTTAAAGGATCCCAGGTTTCATTTCATGAGAGATTTCCTGTAACAAGCTAATCTTAGAAGTGTTTTGGTTTTGCAAGCTTTGTCGACTTAAACTTCCACATGAGTTTCAAAAATTTCATATGAAAATGAAAACAAACTGAAGATAGTTTTATCACATAACTTAAAAAAAGATACAATTTGACAGGTTTTAAAGTAAAAATGTGGAGGAAAAAACGGAGGCAGTCATTTTGAATTCCTGACATAACCAATTGATTAATGACTGGTGCAGCCAATGAAAAAATGCTCTGGAGTATATAGTACATGGACGAATTCACTGCGTTGATAAATGGCAGATTTGATTTCAAATGTATAGGAATACAAAATAGGAAGTATGGGTTCCATATGATTAAAAAATACATGTACCTGTAGAATTAATCCAAATGTAACTTGTTCCAACGCTACACAACTATCATCTTTGTGACATTAGACAGGCTTCCCTATGTAATCTTATTGAAAAAAGTTAGATTTCCAGGTTATTGATGTAACGGGCATCAGTTGGAGCAAAATGCCAGGTATTTTGTCTGAAGAAATAAAAGGGTTTTGATGGTTACCCAGACTCCTTTAAGCTCAGAGTGAATTTAGAATTTTGTGAAATAATTTTGTGTGTTTTTTTTTTCAGAGAAAGTTTGGGACATGTCCTCATGGAGGGTATGGTCTTGGCCTAGAAAGATTCCTATGTTGGCTTCTCAACCGTCACCACATCCGCGAGGTTGTTCTTTACCCTAGATTTGTGGAGAGGTGTAAACCGTGAAGAAACACCAATTAAACCGAATTATTTAACATTATAAAGTGCACAGTATAATTCAGCAGACCACGTCGGTGGCGGACATATATATCAATGTGGTTTTTCTCTCTTGCTTTTTATACAGTTGGATGCTTCAGGTGGAAATTTTCATAAAGTGAAGGAAATTTTGAATGATTTTAACCTTTTTTTATTGACAGAAATAAATCCTAAGAGATTGTTTGCTTCAGAATATTCTTTTAACTCTTCAACGTTTGATGTTCAGAAAAATAATTGTCATCTTCAAACATCGATATAAAAGCTAAAGTGACATGTTGTTCTGAAGACAGAAAAAAATGAAGTGAAGGCAGAGTTCTTATTTAGTTTTTGGACCAAGCTGAAAGGCACCTTTATTAGTAACAAGATTTCTGTGCATGGATTCTGTTTTGCCTACCTCATCTTCTGTCAAGTCAGTTACATCCAACTCTGCTACAAGCCGTTTGTTCCTATCAGACTGTTGCTGTGTATGTATCTACTTCACTCTTCTTTACCATCCAAACATTACTGTAGGGCATATAAGAAAAAAATTTAAAAGTTTATAATTTATATAATGATAACATACAAAAGTGTGTTGGGGAATTATTTCAATAAGGAATGAGGAAAATTTTTTACATGTCACTAGCAGCGTGAAAAATGTTGTGATAAGTCTTCACAAGATCTTGTGTCAAAACTATAACATATTATCTGACTAGTGACAAATTGTGATACATGAACAAAGTTTGTATTTGTATTACAATGGTTGTTGACAAAGAATATAACAAAAATGGTATAGAACTCTGAAATAATTTTGTAAACTTTTTGAAATACATTGTTTTCTTTACATTATAAATCAGTTTATATATAAATGTTTAATGATGACTTAGTGCTTCTTGTGTGAATTTGTAGACAAGTCTCATTTTACCGTTGTGTTCACCTAATTACACATAAAGTTTTTAATAATTATTGTGGCAAGATGATCCAAGGCCAATACAGAATTTGAACAGACTAGAATTGTTAAGATTACTTGTGTTGAAAGAAGATTGGTTAAATACAAATAATATGACTGCTTCAAAATAAAATGAATTCATAGAGAAAAGCTGGTGTTTCTTTTTTGTTTAATATGATTTTAATATCAAAAGTTCAAAACTTGTCATATACTGCTAATGTTGATGTGTTTGACACTGATAAGAACTGGGGATTTATCTGCCTTGGTTGGAACTCTTGACTGAGGACGTGATGTGACAGTTGATGCCAAAACTCGCTCTAAGGAGACATTAACGTAACAAGAGGCCCATGAACCTAAACCTAATAAATCTCAACTATACTTTTATCTGCAAAGAGCCATAGCTCTATATGTAACAAAACAGTCCCATATTGTTGAACTCATCTGAGATCTTATTGATATAAGGCTGCATACCAAGTGTCGTCAAAATCTATACATATACTCAGGTTATCCTGTTCACAAGGCCCAGGGGGCAATAACCATCAAAGGGCCATAACTTTGAAATTATGATTGAATTGGTCCCTTTGTCATTTGAGATCTTATCAATGTAAGGCTTATTACCAAGTTTCATTTAATTCAGTTCATATTTACTCAAGTTGTCATGTTTGCAAGGAAATGCTAATGCATGAGAATGGACAAACAATAGTGACTATGGGTATTTCCAAATTACAGCTCAGTAATTTAACCTCTTTGGTAGGGTAAAACCAGTGGGTTAATTCTTATTCATGACAGTCTCTCTTTTGATGCCAATAAGTGTTCATATGGTTGTTGGGTTGGGATTGCAAATGTTTCAAAAATATGGCCCAGATATTTAGTCCCAAGGGGTGTGCCATACTCCAGGGTAAATTCTTGCATCATAAATGTGATTATCTCTTGATGACAAGCAATTCTGTACATGGTTATGGGTGGGGATCTCAAAAGTTTCATAGATATAAGCCAGAAATTATAGAGGGGTGGAGCAACACCCAAGACCAGTTTTGACATCATGATTGAGTTTATCTCTTGATGCCCATCATTGCTATATATGGTTATGTGATGAACATATCAACTGCTCCAAAGATGTAACAAGGAAACTAACTCCCTGGGAATGGGGCCAGATCCCAGAACCAATTCTTTCATCACAATTGAGTTTACTTGTTTATGTTCAGCAATGCAATGTATGGTTATGGAGTAGGGATCTCAACTGTTTAAAAATATTACCTACTTCCTATATTGAGCCTCTCCCCACTTGCCCTAGGGGAACGAGACACTCAGTTCAAACAAATTTGTTTTTCCTTCACCCAAAGATGCCTCAAGTTAGATTTGGGCAAAATCCAATATTCCTACAGAAGTAGGATTTTTAGAATTTGCAAAATTTCACCTTTTGGGCCCTGCCCCTCAGGCCAGGACACACCATTTATACAAATATTTCTTCTTCCCCAAGGTTGCTTCAGACTAAATTTGGTCAAAATCCTCTTAATCGTTCATGACTAGTATTGTTTTTTAGGAAAAGTTGAGGAATGGATGCCAAGCCATGGCATAAACTAACCGGTCTTTGGACAGGTGAGTTTGTCTTTGGACCAGATGAGCTTATAACACTATTTGAGTAAGGTAATGAAAAGCCAACACTCTTATGTATTCAGCATTGGATATTTGGTGTCTAGCCTCTCTGGATTAAAGGTAGGCAAGGAATGATAGGAAATGTTAATTGGATTTGTAGGGATCAATCACAACAGGCATATAGGACAGGGTATTGATTTTGTGAAAGATTCACCCAGCATTTAAAGGAAAATAGGCCATAAACTTCCATTGTCAAAATCCAAGATGCCTTTCAACAATTTAGTTTACAGATCAGTTTGAAAGTTTGGAGAGAACCACCTGGATCCAACCCACAAAATTTGAAAGATTCATCATGTACATCTCAACAATTAGCCATATTAAATGCTCATTGTCAAAATTCATAGTGACTACCATTTTATTTTCCTGATCAGTCTCCGAAAGTGAAAGGGCACCACTTGGGACCAAGGGAAACACATGTGAAATTGGAGAAATAGTCATCCAATACTTTTTCCAGAAACAGTGATTAACATTCATTGTAAAATTCAAAGATGGCCTCTTGTCAGCTATTTTGTTCTTCTGATCCATCTCAAAATTCAAAGGGCACCACTAGGGAGCAACTGTAATGTTCATATAATAAAGACTCATGTTGCATGACCCTCAAGGCATGAATTCAGAGTGTTTTACCTCACTTACCTGTGATTCACCTGTGTTTTTTTATAATAGTTGCTGACATGAGGTGATATTAAATTATGTGACATTATCAATTGTTGGACTACATAGAATATATAGGCAAAAAAATTGGTGTTTAAAGAAAATGTGATATTTACTGGGAAGTGACATTGAGTGATTTCCACTTAACAATAATTTACTTGAATAATCAACCATCTATTATATTGTTGTGCTAAAAATAAAATAAAAACTGAATTGATTTTACTGACATTTATTTCAGTAACGCATTATTTAAATAAGATAACAGTGTTGTAAAACTGGGAATGTCATGAACACTGTAATCTAAACATACATAATAATATGGTTACAGATGTCTACAAAGTTCATGTTATAGTGGTATGACAGAACGTTCCCATCACACAAGTATTGATCATTTCAACTAAATCAAAAACCTACCAGTGTCTAAATTGAATGCATAAGAGAAATCTCTTGAACGTTATATCTGTAGGAGTTTCCATATTTGTTGTACTTGATTTCTCATACCGAATCAAAATATATTAACACTTTTTGAGATAATTCAAATCAATAAAATGAAAAAAAAAACCACGAACCCCCTCCCCCCCCTTTCAACAAACCAGTACGTCTTCTTATATGGAAGATAGATTCACAAAACAATTTCAGTTTATGAATACTATTTTATAGTGTTATTGCACTATTCCAGAAATATTCTCTAGGAACAGAAATAATCACTACTTCATTTGAAAATAACAGAAAAAGCAAAATAAATCTGTTTTTACAATGAGTTGGTGATATTATTCTCATCAAATTTCAACACCACAGAAATAAAACAAGAAAAATTGTTAAATATGTTGACATTAACCTGCTAAGACACTAGTCTAGATAATGTTTACCAGTAAATTCATAAGTAAGACTTCCATATTCTCAGTTATCACTGTAAATCTTTCTCATAAAGTTAAATACCAAAGTCAAATCATTCCAGCATAGTCTTCAATGGTATATCAATAAACAGTAAAACCATTTCCTTAATGGTAATCAACATCAAATCATTTCACACAGAGACTGATTTCTTGAGAAATTTTTCACTTGGAAACAGAACAGGAAATTCTGTGAGAGACAGCACATTAGTCTCATCCGAAGTAAGATCCTCCAGATCCACCGAGAAAAGAACGTTGTTTAGGAGCGGGTGCTGGCAGAAAACCAAGAGAATTTCCTCTCCCGCGGGATCCCCTTCCTCCAGATTTCCCTCCCTTTCCAGGCTTTGATGAACCTGAAGAATTTTGATAGCTGTACTGGCTGAGTCCTCCACTGCTTGCAGAATTCCTGTCAGCAGAATGAAGTAAAATCAATAGAAGAGAAGAGTTTGAACGGAAATCAAAGGCAAGATTAGAATCTAATATGATGAATGGTTTCATGGATAACCCTCTCACAAAAATGTGTTCCCATATCAACATTTTTCCTTTTGTGTACCTTCAAAAAAGTCACTATGGGAAACAGTAGGTGAAATATTTTTTTCTTCCCTGGTCTAAATCATCATAGTTTTACCAAAAAGAAGTCATACAGTTGAAGGCAGTCTTTTTGTTTATTGTTGATAATTTTCATCCAAGGAATCTATTTTGCAATCTTAAACAAGCCCTCAAAAATAACCTTTACAGTGTGCTCTTTTTGTAGGGTTAAGGTGAAAGGTCATATAGAGATTGCAGTGACCTCATTTTAAAACCTGACAAACTGCTGAATGATGTTTCACCAAACACCCAACACACTGGCCTAGATATGCTCTGGAAACCTTGGCAACACACAAGCATACAGGCATTACACAGAAATACGTCTGTCGAAAATGGGATATTAAAAGTCCTCGGTACCAAAAAGGTTCTGTAGAAAACGGTAAAGGTTACTAACGAAGAGTCACCATCAAAGGGTTCCCAGAACGGTGTACAAAATCACAAGAGAACTGTGTCACGAACAGTGTGATTAGCATAAGTAATGTATGACTTCAGCAAAACAAAGCTTACCCTGTTGTTTTTCCTTGTCCTTTTTTCTTTTTACCTCCAAATTTCTGAAGTCATAAAAACAGCAAAGTGTAATAGTCCTTAATAACAGCAAGAAGTCAATACACATACAGTATTTTGCATAGATCAATTTTTTTTTCAGTAGTGATACACTAATTACTACAAAGAGCACACTTCTGAAAGTGAAATATTTTGAAAGCATTTGTGGTATGATTTAATCACAATATTTACAATCTGGATGTGTCATAAATGGGTTATCAGCTAAAATAGGAACAAACCTATAGGGTAGGCCTAATTTCAGTATAATCTCTAGAGGGATATATAACCAAATGAGTCAAATGGGGATCGTTGAGAGAAGTGATTTAACTAAAACTGCATTTTTTCCAGCGCTCACTATGCATTGAACATTTCAGTCTCCTTATGACATAACAATTGACATTATTTGATCATATTTAGGAGTGTATCCTCATCTTATCAATTTTGAGTTTGAACTAAGATTTTGTTAATATTTCTGTATATGTAATATTTTGTTTGTACTAAGGTGTAATTTTGTTTTATATGTATGAGCTCATTATTGATAATGACTTATGTAAACTGACTAGATATAAATATGAAAAGCTTTAACAAACTGTGATAATATAATATTATTGTGTAGAAAGCACTGACCAATTAGACTGCAATTTATCAATTAATTTAAAGGCATCAGTACTGATATCATCAACACTGGTATTCCTCTTCCTGACTTGTACCTGCTCTACAGATTTATTATATAACCTGATGACTTTCAGGAATTCCTGAATGCATTTTTTGTCAAGGAGTCTTTACAATTTCTGAAAATTGAACCCAGACAGTAATTATAATGTTGCTATCAGCACATAATTCAACCAAACATGATTTTAACACGGAGATTAAATAACATCAAGAAACCCTGGCTTTGATGTAGTATTTTAGCCTTTGTGTAATATGGAAGTCCACTATAACACAAACCTTCTTGAAGCCACCTCTTCCTCTTCCTCTCCCTCTCTTCTTAAAACCAAAAGAACTGGTTTCTTCTTCCCCAAAATAGGGTGACTCCCAGTCTGGATCAGGACCAGAAGTTTGGTTTGCCCCAGATTCAGCTGCCTCATTTTCAGCAGCAGCTATAGGAGAAGACTCAATGCAATATTACCTATTATATATTATTCTATATTACAGAAATCATACAAACAGAAGCAACATTTGTCAGACAGTCAATACCATTACACATAAATGCTATACCATTATGGCATCTGGAACACTGGTAAATTGGTTGTTCCAACAACTCATAAAGGTTTTGGAAATAAATATTCTTTTTCAAATAATTTGAGTTGAAACTGGTTAGACGAGTAAGAAGTGTAAATGATCAATTGCAAAAAGGAAGAGGCATAAAGAGATTCCAAGGTGAACTCACAATGAGAGACTACAAATGTAATGTTTTAAAGATCTTTGCAATGCCTTCAGAGAAATAGTGATAACAATCTCCATGAAGTACTTTTCAAGAAATGGCAATATGAACTCATGGACCAGAGACAGAGCAACATAAAAATCTATCTAATGATAGTGGGCCAAAACAAAAGCAGATGAAAATTTTTCCTGAATATGATGCATACTTACTGGACATAAGGACACAATATTTGGTGGTGATATCCAAAAAGCGATCGGCTCCATACTTGGTGACCTTATATTCTGTCAGGTTGTCTATTTTGCTTGTCATTTCATCAACAGTGAGAGGTGTTTCTTCAGCCAGCTGGCGAAGCATGGCCAAGGGGAATAAACGGTCCACATTTTTGAATCCATGCTCTTGGGCTATAAACATATAAAACATTTATGTTTCATCCAATGTTAATTAGTACAACGGCCAATGTTTTTTCCCTTTCTATAATAATTAAGCTATGGAATAAGAGATGAACAGAATGAATTTACTCTACATAGAAGGGCATGTGACACCCGATTCTGTGCTGGCAATAACATTGGAACATGCAATAATACAGGGTCATATTTCTTTATTATTGACCAGCTGAATGAGGGTTGTCCATAAAGAAATAACGATGCGCCTACTGATGAAATTTTACTTTCTGATAAGCCTTGACTAACACTTTCAAAGCCTGCATAAATATTTGCAGGTGTCTGAATTTTTGCCTGAAATGTTACACTGAAAGTGCCCCCAAACCAGTTTGTCTGCACAACAGACCCTAACACATGACTAAGCCCAAACAAGATAGTACTCCGACTTATGATGGACCCCCTAATTACTGAGAAAGCATTTATTGATCATTTAAAACCAATGCAATATAATTTCATGGCTAGACATTTTGGTTTTGTAGATCATCCTTGGAATTTAATGTACAGTTTTTCATGTTTTAATGTTTGCAGTTTTTTCTGACATGAGTTTCCAAATTTCACTGTGACCTACCAATTTCCTTTGCTAGTTCAAGTAGTTCTGTGTAGCATTCTTCTACAAGACGGTCCTGGTTGGACACTGTGTTGCGACCAATCTTTGTGGCCTCACTCCTTGACCTATTACCTTGGACCTGTAACTCTATCTAAAACGCACAAAATTACCTAGTTAGTAATAAACCATACTGATCTTTCAGAATTCAGTAGTAAGTAGCCTTTTGAGGCCAGTGATATTTATTTGCCCATGAATCAGTTTGACCTCATAATTAAACAAGTCCATGGTGTCCTTGAAAATACAAATTACATCACCATCAAGTAGACTTAAAATGAATGTTAAAGGCCAAATGATGAGTTTTCTCACATCCTTTTCAATTATTCATGACAGTATACAAATTTAGACATTTTATCTTATATTCACAAGAAACTTTAAATTTCCCCACACTGAATATAAGCGCACCAAGAAATAAGCTTTTGAACAGGTAAACTATTTCCTGATCCTACCTTTTTGTTTCCCATCATGACATCATTAGCACCTCGTCCTATCTTGATGTAACAGGCTGTGTGATCCATGGCCGTTATCTGAAGGTCCTCCATCAATATTCCTTCTATCACTAACTTCCGAAGCATTCTTTCAGCATCATGGCGACTATAGCTTTTACCTCTCCCATGTAGTGGCAATTTGTCATGACCAAATTCTTTGATTTTACTGTTACTTGACCCTAGGTGAAGAGAGAAGAGATTAACTCCAAATAAGGTGTTACTAAGCTTGAATTTAGGAGAATCAATATGGCTGTGCAATCAGTGTTACTAAGCTTGCATTTAGGAGAATCAATATGGCAGTGCAATCAATCAACTATTTCAAATTATAATTTGAAAACCCTTCTCAAATTAAAGAAATTAAAAAAGTCATATCCGTGCATTATTCTAGACAGGGTAATATAAGGAGTACATGGGTATTAAGTGCTTACCTCTAAAGATCTCAACAAAGTGAAGCAGTGTGAAGTCGGAGCCACGCCTCCCTCCAGAGCTGGTGATAGATCTAACACACTTAATTATCTCCTTGGCATCTTCTGTAACATCTCGAAGCTGGAACATGTCCTACAACATATATACATTACACAAACTTAAACAGTTGCTAAATCTGTGAAAGCCGTGAAAGCCTCTCTGTAACTGATGGCAAGACAACTCTGTTGATAAAACAATCTAGAATTTTAATTTGAAAAAACAAAACTATTAGTGAAACTTACGAATGCTATCTAAAAACAACTTTTATCAGACAGAATTTTAACAAAGGGCAATAACTCTGCAATTAAGGGGTTGATGGCCCTGAATTTGGCACAGTGCACATCCTCTTAGTATGACCAATTCATACATCAAGTTTAATTAACCTAGCTAAAGAGCAGGCATTTTAAAGTTTTGCTCTCAAATCGAAATTTCAACAAAGGGCAATAGTTCTGTAATTAAGGAGTTGCGGGTCCTGACTTTGGTAAACTGCATATTGTCTTAGTATGACCAATGTATACACAAATTCATGTTCATTGCAAAGTTGTGCTCCAGACCTATATTTAACCTTTTGTTTGAAACCATTCTCTGTTGTACCAGGTATACTTACAGACCTACCTTTGAAGCTCCTTACTAAATGACCTTCCATTTGAAGCCTTCTACCTACCTTTGAAGCACAGTTGTCACACATTGAACCTCGAAAGCTGCCACACCCACTTCTGTCAAAGTTGTGTTCTCCCAGGTAATTCAAAAGCTGAGCACGCCGACAATCTGTCATATTCTCACAATACTGAACCATTCGGAATAAGTTATCAATGTGCACTTTCTTTGAGTCATAGGTTGCATTATTGTCAACTGAAAACACAAATACAAATTGATGCAGTCTACCAAATACATACACCAACTTCTCAAAACACAGGAAATCAGAATCATTAGAATATTACCCTTTTCTCCAACTTTGACATTTAGAAAATTGCATTTTTGACTTATATAAAAGATCTTGATGTATCAAGATCTAGTATATTTCTTTTATCAACTCTAAATGTTTATATTATGACCATTTGTTTTATTTCAAGCTAAATGAAGAACCTATCAGAATCAATTTAATTTCTATTTATACAAACATTAGCCTGAAAGAAACGAGGACACATTACTGTTTCATCCACATGTCATGATGGACATCAACAACGAGCCAGATATTTTGTATGCAAGCCATTCATATAATGGAGACAAGTATACTCACGCTCTAAGATACGGCGAATACGTTTCACATCCTGATAAGTATAGTACAAGAGACAATAGGCTAGCTGTCCATCTCTGCCAGCCCGGCCAGCCTCCTGGTAGTATCCCTCCATAGACTTAGGTAGTGAGTAATGAATCACAAATCGTACATCTGCCTTGTCTATTCCCATTCCAAATGCTATAGTGGCACAAATCACCTTGAAACACAACACAGATGAGTACTATAGAAAACAATTTGCATCATACACTAAATAGCAGACAAATTAGAACTGTTGCCAGGAAGAATGACTGAAACTAATTTCTCCCCCATCAATATCATCAATTCTCTGTGACTTCCACTAAGAAGGCAATACATCAGGTCCCAGTTTTACCCACAAAGTTTGCAACATATCTGCTGAAAAAGAACTTGCAGCATTGCTGAATAAACTGGGTTTTTTATAAAAAGAATTTAAAATATGTGGAGTTGATGAATACTGTAGCAGTAGTTATCCACACAAGATTCTGTTCACAGACAGCCAGACGGATGCACCGAGTGGTGGATGGAAAGACAGACAGACAGATGAATGCATGGGTGATGGATGGGGCAACCAGATTCCTGTAGCTGCTAACCCCACTAACTATAGGGGTGATTGAAATACAAGAGAATATATCTTTGAGGTTTAAACTAATGTTATCACAAAGAAACAGAATATTGCATTATGCAGCCAAAAGAACCTACTTTCACAAAAATAACATATGCAGTTGCTAAGTGTTCATCTGTCACTAGGCACTTACTTTAAAACTAAACTAAAACTTTAGCTTACATGTTGTACTATTGAGCCATTGTGTACGCTAATTCTCTTACCATTCTTGAGGCCATCTATTATTAAGACATTCCCTTACACCTGGCACTTGTGAGCCATTTTTTCTAGCCATTTTTTCTGTGTGCTGATTCATCATCATCACAGCCAATTGATATTAAAATTTTACCTTACAAGTGGCACCATTGAGCCATTTTTCCTGTATGCTAATTCTTTCACCATCCCCAAGGCCAGCATGGTAAGACACAGCCTGAATGCCAGCCTTACTCAGATCTTGAGCTGTGCTATCACATTCTTTTCTGTAACATCAATCAAAGAGTTTTATCTTAGATTTTTGATGGCAGCCAAGGAGACTCCATTTTAGATAGAAAAGGATCACTGAACTAATCATGCACTTTTATAGCTAGAAACACACAAAGCATAAAAAATCTCATTCCAAACTTACTACCATAATTTCCAGATTATACACTGCACTATTATATAAGTCACAGAGCTGCATTTTATCAATTTTTTTTCAATTTGATCACATATAAGTTGTACCAGAATAAAAGCAGCACCCTTTCTTACCATATGGTGACCACTATTGCCAAAATTTGATATACTTGTAATAAATAATGGAAGGCACTTCCTATGAAGTGATAACTGTTATGTTGACCAAAAATCGATGATATAACAGACAAGGGAGGGCAATTTATCAAGATTGTCACTGAAACATTTACTCAAGTTTGAAAATGAATTATACACAAATAATCCTTTATTTTATCGATGTGGTTAAAAAAACTTAAAATAGCAAATATCAAACTTGTTTGACTTGGGTGCCATTACTGTTGCATATTAACAAAGCCCCTTGTATGCTGACCAAATTCTTATAGTCCCATAGCATTTCTTCTTATAAGTTATATGAAGCAATTCATATTGTACACAATAATGACAGATAATAAAACAGCAGTCTCTTTTGTTATCGGAGTATACAATCTTGTACTGGTATGCTTCCTTTTTTCTTTTCTTTTTCATTCTGCCAAATTTTGTTTTGTCCACATACAAGCCGCACGCCCAACTCATGAGAAAAAAAAGATGCGGCTTATAATCCGGAAAATATGGTACCTTCAACAGGCCATCAACCATATCATACTTCCCAAACTAACCTAGACAGGCCACCCAAGGTATCATGCCTCTCAATCTAATCTCAATCATTCTTTCTTCACTAACCTAGTAAAGTAAAACACAATATCATTCTTCCCAAACTTATCATATCACACTTCACTAACTAATTCATGATATCATACTTCCCCAACTAAGCTAGACAGGCAACATACAATATCATACTTTTCAAACTAGTTAAAATACCTTGAGAGGTCACATTTACCTTGACAAACAGTAAACAATGCCACATTTCCCTGAGAACCTCTCCTTGATCAACTTAATGATATCAGATGTTAGTGTTGAGGGCTTCTTGTGCTCAACTGACATTCGAAGATTAGGTCGATCAAAACTTTGCACAAACCTGAAATATTAGAAAAATCTGCCACTGAAAATTTCCTGTGTTTGTATAAAAACCAACAAGTGAGAACATTCATCATTATCAATGGTATATTAAAAAAAAAAAAATTCATACTGCATTTCCAAAACCTACAAAAAAATTAGGTTAGCATACTTATAATCAACTATCAATTTACATTTTATGTTACAAGAACCCTCTGCATTCCTTATGGAATCCATCCTTTCCTGACCTGTGCCAATCCTCCGACCATTTGGATGAAGATCAAAGACAATATGTCAACTCAGGAAACCACCTACTGTCCCATAGAACATATTGGAAACTTTCAACATCCTACACTCTACCTAATTCAGATTTTAAATGGAATGAAATCCTCAACTTCTTACAAATCTATGATACCACACTACAGGCCTTGTATGAATGGACTAACTACATACTTCATTTCACGAACTCTTTTCTTCTCTGCATCCTTCAAAGCCAACATTTTCAGTATAAGAAAATGATCTAAAGCTTTTTTTCAACAAGATGTGACAGATCACTGAATATTATTAGTTATGTAGTTTGCTAGTGACCCCCTACAGGAATATAGGGGTTCAGTCAGATTGGTAGGGGGTGAGGGCGAAGCAAACTAGCAAACTACATAACGAATTTATTGCACCAAGGACCCATTTAAATATATATATAATACGTCCCATCACATTTCCTGGCATCCATGTAAAAATGGCCAAGACATTCGTCCAGTCGGACTACATCGTAATCTTCAAAATCTGGGTTTTGCTGCTTTTCCACCAAATAATCTTTGAACACTTTAGCGGCCAACTTATTAGCTTTTAACGTCTTATCAGCGTTAAGTGCCAGTGTTTTTTTTTTCCTTGTCTGCAGCTGTCGTCTGCCCGAACCGCCCAGCCATTTTTGATCCGAGTCAAATAGGTGCTTCGTGTAGGGGAAACAACTCGTACTAGATAATAGCAACTTCTAGGATTCACTCTAGCCAATATTCCGACACGGAACAGAATGTGAATATCGCCAATCTGTGATTTGAAATTACGAAGTGACGCCTTTCAGAGATAATGGATGGCGGCCATTGCCCCCTATATATTCAGCTGCCCCCTATAGATTTATAGGGGGCAAGCAACGTCCAATCAGATCAATGCATTCTAGTCCGAGGTGCAATAATGTTCCATACATTATTGCTTGGCCATAAGAAGGCAAATCTAACTTTCCCATCAACATGGTCATCTTTCAATCATTCTTCACCTAAATATTACCAATCATATCTTAAAACCCTTAAGAATTTTCTAATAGAAGAACTATCTCTTCTTTGGGGATTTTCTTTGTGGTCTTTGAGAACATAGTAGTTTCTCCTAACAGCATGTCTATCACTAAATGATTTATTTCAGTTCTACCCTTTATACTTGATTCTATAGACCAATTATTGTTCACTAAGACTGAACTGTATGAACTATATCTACTTTCCACCCTACTGTGTGAGTTCAACAACTGAAAAAGCTCTTTTTAATATCTCTTCTATATATCTATCCTTTTAAACTATTATTACTTTTGTATTCTAAGATTTTCGACCAGTATTAAATACATACCATTTGGTGTCCTTCATTTTGAGCTGGTGAATGATGTCTTTCCTGACCCTGGGAGTGGCTGTGGCAGTTAGTGCCATCACTGGGACCTCAGGGTAGCGCTCACGAAGAATGTTCAGTTTCTTGTAGTCCGGTCGGAAGTCGTGACCCCACTTTATAGAGAAATAACAAGTTATGTCCCTTGTTATGATATGCTAAATCTTGAATCCTCTCAAAAGTATTACCATGTCAGAACTAAATCATACAGTAAGAAAATATAATGAAGCTCACATAAATAGTTTTCTTAGCTTTATTTTAAGAAATATCAAAATACCTGGGTAATATACTATGATGTGAAGATTTTAATCTTCAGTAAATTCATTAAACAAAACACATGGGCCTAAACAGCCATCTTACAAATAAGAGTTACATTCTCGAGTATAGTCTAATTAATTTCTAAAACTCGATACACAAACTTTTATTTCTTAAAATAAATATAGCCAGGACAATTCATTTTGCTATCTAGTTATTTGACTTTCTATATGTGTATTTGTAGACCTGCAGACAAAGAATGTGAAACTATCAGAGTATTCTGCCTGCTGAAGTCTCATTATAAGCCATATATGAACAGAATGTGTCTGTAAATGTGGAGGAGATAGGCATTAAGTATATTTTACTACCAAATATACAGCTCCAGGGATGAATGGCTTGAACACTTTTTAATCCTTACTGCCTGATGAATCTGCAGCCAATAGAACTGAAAAGGACTCCATTTTAACAACTTTGTATCCTTTCTTCGACCTTAACAAGCAATCTGACCAAGCTTGCTTTTTTGGATCAAATTATGTTATCCCATGACAAGATATAGTGATAATATGATTAAAAGAAGATATCATTCATTGTTAGAATGCAATAGCAGAAAAATTTAGAAGTCATACCTGGCTGACACAGTGAGCTTCGTCGATGACAAATCGGGAAAGTATCTTCCTACGATACAAGTTATCTAAACAGTTGTTGAGCTTGTCACTGGCAGATATCTGAAATATAATTAAACACATATATTTTAGTATTGACATGTAAATCTCTTCTCCCTATGCCTAGGGTACATAGGTATATTGAACCAATATACTTTTTCTGTATACTTAAAAGTGTACTTGAAAGTGAAATTATATCCAGTTAAAAGGGAAATCTCACTATTAATACCAGTTAAACATGACAAGATGGCAAACCTTCCAAACCATTGTAAGTGAGCATTCCAGAGAACAAACATGTTTGTGACAACTAATTCAGAACATATCCCCTGGAATCATCACTTCATGGTACATATTGCCAAGTCCTTAAATGGGTATCAATTTATCCAAAATTCCATGTAGCCCTAATCCCTAATCATAATAGAAATACACCTGTAGTCCATAGATTTTGTCTAGATAAATCAACACTGTTACAAAGCTTATATTCATCACTGAATCATACAAAACTGTATTTACACATAAGGAAGCTAACAGTAATTATACAACTGCTGTCTTAAAGTCAGAGATGGGTTTAATATAGGCCAATTAATCAGTACTTGTCTGTAATTCTAATGAACAGCAATAGACATAGGTGGGCTATTACCAGACATGGGTTTGAAGCTAGATATATACAGTAACCCTGTTTCAATAAAGATCCTAAAACATGAGATAAACATTCTTTGGTGGATCTACAATGAAGTAAACAAGATAATGCAAAGCTTGACATTATCCTCCGCGCCCTGCTGTTTATGTCTTAAAAAAAGTTTAATTTTTATTTGTTATTTTGAATTGTTACATACAAAGTATTGAAATGGAGAACTCCTACTTCAGTACTAGCTTGATTCCTGTGCAAAGTCTTGAGAACCGAATAATTAACTTCAATGTTTTAAGAGAACTAGTCTGAAAAATGAACTTTGTGATTTGACCTATCTATTTCCATGGTAACAGAAAAAGTATTTAAATAATGAATTTCCCCATAGCAAAAGATACTACTAGCTTAATAGATGCCTTCCTTTTCTGATGTTTTTCTCTGTATTAAACCTACCATTTGTATGCGACAGAATGAAGGCTAAAAAACATGAAAGCATTTCTTAAATTTTCTTCATCTTTATTTCTTGCAGGGCAGATATAAAGTAGAAAACTTGTTAACCTACCTTTTCTGGTGTGACATAGAGGAGGGTGATTTCTGGCTTCCTATAGGAGAGTTTAGTATAAATAAAATCTGCCTGTGTTTTGTTTTGATCAGAGGACAGCTGAGCTGCTGGAATCTACAAAGGATTATTGAAATATTGATTCACATTTTTACAGGATTCTGAAAGTAATATTTCCAGCTCTTTATTTGAGCGAACACAAAAGAAGTTTTTTTTCCTTCTTTTCACCTGTGCTTTGAGATATTGTTACATTCCATGAAAGGGAAACAAATCATAACATATATAAAATATATCACTGCTTTTTTGTGAACAATCTTTTCTGTATCAACTTACCATCATAGAATTAAGTCTCTGAACCTGATCCTGTATGAGAGCTCGGAGAGGGGAAACAACGATGGACACACCTCCGGACACAAGAGCTGGCAGCTGGTAACAAAGACTCTTTCCACCACCTGTCAAGGAACACTGATACATTGTCAGTCTAGTTACATCTAATTACATTAATACTTAAGCAAAACTCATTCAATAAATTTATTTAAAACAGATTCCTTTAAAGATCACAGGTTAACTTTTGCTGCAGATTAACTTTCACAAGACACATCAATTTGCAAGTGAGGCAAAAGTATATGTTGGGCTAAAAATTGCTTTTAAAATGGAAATGCATTTTTTTTTTTTCTTTTCTTTATATGTGAATATACCACAGGACTTAAAAGAACACTTTTATGTGAAGGTGACTAACACTCAGGGTGAATGCTTCCCCATATATACTATTCCGAAGGTACCTGTAGGCATCAGGATAAAGCAGTCGTTGCCCAACAGAGAAGCATTAACTGCCTGAAGCTGATGGTGACGGAAGCTATGCAGACCAAACACTGAAGTGAATGCTTTCATCATCTCTTTGCTGTGAGAAAATCCAAATCCATCAAAATGTTTGTTAGGATCCTCAGGCTGCTTTTGACAGCTGTTTGGTTTGGTTACTGTTAGAATACAATAACAGAGTGTTAATGTCAGAATTATGTTTCGGAGTAAGTATTAACATTAATGTTTTGGGTTGTCAATACTGATCTCAGAGAAAGCTGATACATGTTAAATGCTTTATGCCAATTGGTTTATGTCAAATATGCCAGCATTCAAATGCTTAATGGGAAATTCCTAATGTGAGATGTTTTGATTGGGATTGAACAGTTTTCTTGGTTATAATAAAACTGGAAAGGATAGAGCACCAATGGTTGTCTGTAGGCCTTGATCAGCTGTAGAACATTCACTATCTCAAATTAACAGTGCCTATTTCAAAGTATTTCAAAGTAAGCATTTCATATTCAGCATAAGAAATTATCGGCTTGGCATCTAGCATTTAGCATTATGCAGTAAAAGGAAGTATTTAGTTATATGACTACTCTTAACATTTATATATGACAACACAAACCAACATAGCATTTATTATCCTCAAAAAGACATTTACTTTCTATTTTCTAATGACTTAAAGTCATCTTAAAATCTTTAAACTAATCAGGATGAGAGAAAACATTTCACATTTGGCATGATGCAATTCCCAAACAGCATTTAAGATATCACACTTCTTTCCATGCAATCTTTACAAACTCATTAACAAATTTGCTTTTACTTTTAATTTTCTTATCAAAATGTGTACTGGTACAGTTTTCTTATTGTTTCCTATCAAAATGTGTACTGGTAGTTATTTTAAGAATGAATGCTTTTACAGACTTGAAAACTTATAATTAATTGAAATTTACAGCTGTTAAGCATAGAAAATAAAAAAAAAACCAAATTTGTCCAGCTTTCTTTGCTGGGAACCATTGATACATAATAAATGTTTATGCTATGCAGTACATTGTGACTAGAATAATCTCATTGCTTGAGCTATTAAAAAAAGACCCACTCAGTGGCCTGTATAATTTGCCCCTGTTTATCAGCAAAGTCTTTGACCATCAAGAAACAAAACATCCAACAGCCATGCAGTTTACAACCTAAGTGTTGAAACCATCTGGACAAACTTTCATTTAAGTATGTTATATGTATTACAATAAACCATGAAATCATTTTACCTGGATAATGGTCAAAACTTCTGTTTTCACCTTTGGCAGGATTTCTAGCACTTGTATCTGTATATGAGTAAGATAGAGACCACAGATTGTATAAAATGTAGTTTAGGTATAAAGACCAGGACCAATAGCAATGTTCCTATTTTCTGGAACTTCTCACAGTATCTTTTATTTTCCTACATATATTTTTTTAATAATGTATATGGCACACATTTGATTAAAACTGATGGATAGCAGGGAACTTAAGTTCAGATTAAACAATTTATTGCTATGACTAAATAATTATCAAATATTTCAAAGAGAAAAATTATGATTTATACAGTTGACTTTTGAACATTTGTTTTTGAAGATGAAAATGAAAACAGTCAAAATATGGGACCTGGGTCTGAATTAAACAGTAACTTTGGAAAAGCCTCATAAGGATCTTGTTACATTGAAAAGAAAACCAGAGCTGGCTTATCTGGTTCTCAGATGTTTATAGCTGACACACAATGATTGACGGAATATAACTGCAATTGAATAGATGACCTAAAGATACCAGAGTTTACTTAATCATCCCTTGCAACTACAGTATGTTTAAAACATACGTATGTGTAATATTTAAATTGACTTTGTTACCTGTCTGTTGTTTACGTCTAGGTGTATGGACAAGAGATGGTATATCTGATTCTTCAATCTCATCCTCATCAAATTCAAAGTCATCTATGTCAATACAGAAATCACTGTGGTGGGAGTCCTGTAGTGTGGAGGTTTCATTGTGACCTGATCTCTTTACAGAACTAGGTCCCTCATTCTGTGCAATCTTGTAACTGAAATCAAAGTTAGATGTGGCTGATTTTGTTAAAGATTCATCCATCACTTTAGTGTCTATAGGACTGGTCTTGTTCCCAACACCTTTACTCAGACTCATTATAGGCGGAGAGGCCATCCCTGTGACAGTGCCATTTTTACTGAATGTGGATGGAGAACCCATTGATTTTCTGTTAAAGTTTGCCATAAAGTTTGCATGTGACTGTGTTAGTTTGGCATCCTCCTCAAAAAAGCTTTCTCCACATGGTATAGGAGAGCTGAAAGCTTTAAATGAACCGTTTGACGTCCTTTTATAACTCTTGTCTGTAAGGCCATTAGCCTCAATTCCCGGAGTTGTAGAATCCATCATCTGGAATCGGAGGGGTGTGGAGGTGCTAGAAGGAGACAAGTTTTCCTTTGGTAATGACTGTGAGGAACTGATAGACTGGGAAGGAGCTCTGTCTGCACACTTTTGTCTGGCTGATGAAATCTCCATTGAAGAGGAGAAACAATCAGCTTTGTTTTTTATGCTCTTCCTGAAATCATAATAATAAGTGCTTTTGTCTGCTATACGGATATTTCGAAACATGTACATGTAAACAATTATGTTAAGTATATTTTCCAACTTACATAGGATGAAAAATGCATTGACTTGAAAATATGTTCACAATAGCAGAATCTCCTTTTGCCACCAGAGTAACTTTTGCTGTGTACATCTATTACCCGAAGCAAGTAATTTAGCTGTTACCTGAATGTAAGAAGTTTCTGCAGTCTCTCATAGTTTTGCCAGGCTATGACCATCAGATCGTCAGTGCTAACCTTACAAATGATATCACAAATCTCGTCCATGATACGAAGAAGCACAGTCCTTAGTTCCACAATGTCTTCACAACTCAGCTACAAAACATTTAAAATTCTGATTTGTAAGATCTGTAAAAGAATGTTTTCCTAATTTCCTGTACTGAACTTGAGGTAGGACTGGATTTCATATTTCATTAACATGGCAATGAATTAAATTAAGTTCCAAAACAAATTTAGTCAAACTATTATATTAGAATGTTCCATACTATTTACTCAGCTGTTGAACAAATGAGAGACTTGATGGATACCATATTAGTAATTCTGGAAGAAATGTGTGAATAAAAATACTTTAAACATCCTCAATCTGCATTTTTGTGATCAAGGGACATAAATCCTGCTATCCAAAATTTTTGTAAAATATCAAGTATTAGTCACAAAGGAGTATGTATGATTTGGGTCAAATTTGGCCCCCTCTTCAAATTTGATGAAATACCTATATTGAGTAAGGATAGTAACATAATTAATGAATTGGGGGATTTTAGCATGTTTTCTTTCTCGGCGCATGCTTAGCAGCACTTCAAGTATAGGTGTCATACCAGTATTTTTTAAGAGAAAAATGACACAAAGCATTACAAAAAGATTCTGTAACTTTTAATTATCATACAAATATACTGCTTAATATGATGTAATTAAATCACTTATGGAAGTTATCAACTAATGGCTTTTGCTAGCAAAGGCTTTAATTAAACTTTTAATATATTTACATTTGGTACCTTAGCAACGAATTATATCACATAGCAACGGCATGGCTATAAGATTTATTACTGGTAACAACATTTTCTATCATCCGAACTTGTGAAATGAAAACAAATCATAGCATATGTGACATAATTATATGGACTCACTTTTTTTTACAAAGGTATTATAATGCAAACATTTGGGAAGTGACATTAATTTCCCTAGCAACAGAATGTGTCGCATAGCAACAACAATATATATTGATAACAACATTTTCTTTCCAGTTTCAAGATTTTTCTTCTGCTGTACTTAATGAAAACAATATATTTCTCATGTTTTCAGTAGCTAAACTTTCTAATAAAGGTATCACAATATAGATATTAGAGTATTGATCAAAGTTGGTGCCCTAGCAAAGTATTCTGACACATGGAAGAATATGACCTAAACTGTTATTTTTTTTATATTGTTTCAATGTTTTTTATTGTACGTTATTTAATGAAAACAAATCATTATCACTTTACATGGACTAACCTTTTCTTACGAAATATGTATAATATAAACATTCTGATACAGATCAAAGTTAGTACCCTAGCAACAGAGTCTATCACATAGCATACCTGTAATTGTTAACATATTCTTTTCTGTTACAATATTTTTCCACTTGTTACTTGTTGAAAGCGAAACACTTACCACATAATTTCATTGGTAAAACATTTTTGTTATAAAGGTATACTAGTGTACACAATATAAAAAACTGATTATTAATCAAAGTGTGCAACAAAGTCTATCACATAGCAAGAACATCACCTGAAGCTGTTATCGGTTTCTATTTTGCTTCATATTTCTGCACTGATGCTTTTGAAAGCAAAGCATATTTGAAGCATATAATCAATGTTTAACCTTTGGTTTTGTTAACAGAATTTAACAAACATGAAAATGAACAAGTGATAAGCGACTTCAAATTATATCTACATTAAATACATATAGTGTTACAGTTTATTCCTCTGGATACTCCTCATCCGTGTCGGAATCTGTTGTTGGAATGTCAGCTGCATCAGCCAAAGACTTTGTTGAAATAGTCACTGCCCCAGATGATTTGCCTTGGAAGCGTTCATATCCTAGAAACCACAATGCACTTGCAATGTGGGCACAGCAACCGACCACTCTTGAGTCTACTTTACAAGTGCAGTACCAACCTTTGATGGGATCATCAGAAAGTGAGTCATACTCAATCCACAAAGAATGTGCTCTGCTGTTACAGTGTCGAGACTGTATTTTTAACTTGATCAGATTAGGGTTTTCTGAGAAGACCAGCAACTCATACAGTCCATCTTCAACACAGTGCTCCTTTGTATAACTTGGTGCCTGTTTAAGTTGATAAACTCCCATGGTGATGTTTCGTAAGTCATCCATGGAAAGTTTAGGGAAGTCCATCAAGTCTTCTGCTTCCAGCTTTTGATACACAGTTCTCTTATTTAGTAAGTTGTTGCTTTCCAAAAATGCCTTCACTGTGTTTGGTTCCTTGGACTTTGCAAGCATTGCCCTGCAATGTGCTTCTGATGTTGCGTCAGTTTTCACAAGTGGTTCTTTAAACCTGTTGATAGGAGCACAGATGATTCTCACAAAGTCACCAATAGAAGGGATCAGGGTATTTGGAACAACTTTGTCAAACAGTTTCCATTGTTTTATCCTGCCATTCACGCTTTCTACCACCCATCTGACTTTTGTGACTAAACGTGAAAGGTTCGCCTCTTCGGTGCTGTGCTGCCTGCAGCCTTTCTGAAGATAGAAGGGCATTTTCACATCGAAACCTCGGTCTTCTAAAATCCTCACAGCGTCCCTAAACCCCCTGTCTACAATGAATATGTCACCGGGTTTGAACCACTTGCTAGCTTCCTCATTTGCCTTAAGCATGTGTTTTGTAATGGAGGCATCGTTGTTTGAGCCATCAGCCAGGTAAGGTCCGAGCACATCCAGAATGTAGCCATCCGTTCCTACAAGCATCATTGGTTTAACAAGTGGTCTGTTCTTGTGCATAGAATAGGACCTCCTTTGGAATTTGTAGTCTGCACTCTTCTGGATGTAAACATAGGTGCCATCAGCAACAACAATAGCCTCGTTTTCGCCTGGTTGGAACAATGATTTTGCTATATTTGTAGTGTGGTTTTGAACAAAGTCTCCATGAGATATGTGTTGAAATCCAAGGTTATCTGGTACAAAATCTTCCACTAAGGCATTCCTTGTGCTGTTCACTATACGCTGGATTTGTGAATATGTTAAATGAAATAACACACCAATTAACTTGTTGGACAATCCACTACGTAATTTGAAGAGAAACACAGATAGACATGTCCGGATTGACCTGACTGCTGAATTATTAAGTGATGTCAAATGAGTGACAATTTCGTCAAACTGCTGTTTGGTAAATCCTGTCAATGTTACATAATCTTCATTGGTTAAAAATGATGGCACATCTAAATTCAAATGTCCAGAATGTGTAGACAGCATCCTTCGAACTCCGGAGAGAAGACCTGTAATATCACTTCTTGAAAACCAGTCATTTGATTTCTTGGTTCCAAGTAATGCCAACGCATTTTCATTCAGATAATTGTTCTCAATATGGCTCTCACAACATCTACTATGGGGGTTTATGAATATACCACATACTATGAAGGCCTGAGTAGTTCCTTGTTGTGGGATGTTGGTTAAATGGTTTCTTTGGTTTGCATCTTTATGACATACAATACATGATTTATGAGATTTTGATGTTGCGGGAAGGTTCAAATCAATAGTTTTAGGACTCGACAGTGTCTTTTTCTTTGGCGGCTGAGAAATGTACTTGTCATCATTAGTATTTACAGGTGTCTGGTGAAATATTGGAAGACTCCTATACACTCGTGCCGTACATGTCCCGCATATCATGTCATTGCTACTCACGTCCCTGCCAACACATCGCTCAACATATCTTTTAAAGGCCACGCCAGGTGGGATATGCCTTCTGGAATTTGGTTTACACCTTTTGAAGCACAATCAACATGGGATGTCTTTTGGCATCTGGAAAGAAATATTTGATAAGTATATTAATACTTTATACCAACCATATAAATCACGGTAATGTAGAAAAGTATAAAAAGAATATGTAAACATAAAAGTGACAACTTTTTATGTGGAACTCAAAAGAATGTGTGTTCTATACATTGTATAAGAAATTAAAAGTTGTAAACATAGATATTATATTCATATCTAAATTACATAACATATTTTTGTCATAATTGATCAATAATTACACATTATTTAGTGAATATGTTGTTAAGTTTTTTACAATGAAATTAAGAAAAAATAATAAAAAGGAACAGGCACCAGCACGACTGTAACTCAAACAAATGTCGATAAATGTTTGTGAAATATGGATTGTCAACAAGATTTGAACTCGCAGTTTAATTAATATTACAAATGTTTTTTACTTAACGTGAAAAAAATAAAATGTTGCTAAGCACTTTCACACACACAGACTACATGGTTGCATTTTAAATTAAATTAAGAATAGGTATTTTTTAATTTGAAATCAAAATAAATAAATAAAAGAGTTGTCAACAGGATTTGAAGTCAGAGCTTAATTAATTACACAAATAGTTTTAATTAATGTTAAAAATAATGATGTGTTGCAAAGTTCTCTCTAGAAAATATGTATTATAGTTTTGTATCTTAAATTGAATATAAAAAAAATAAAATCAATGGTCATCAGGATTGGAACCCATAATTGCGGTCCTTATGCTCCTGAGCCAACCCGCATACCACTACACCACGGTACAGCAAATGCAACCGCAAGCTATTTTGAAAGTATATATACACCGACTATGTTGGCTTTCTCTCTGGCCGTTTCCAAGACAATGAGTATAAATAGATGCACTCTTTCATTTTTATTTTTCCTTAGTTAGTAAAACGAATATTTTCAGACAGAAAGAAGACATTTTCAGTGTACTTCAACAAGACACACAGTCTCTGTTGAAGTTTATAATGAATTACTCTTGTATATATTGTGAGCTCGCCTTCAGACAACACTTCACCCGTTTGTTCGGCGATCAACATCAACAACATTCAAGCTGGGCTTGGCAGCACAGAATAATACTGTTTCAGAACTTTAAAAAGTATTGAGATACCTTTAAATAGATTTTATTGTTAATAAATGACATTTGAATAAATTTTTTAACAAACATCACACAAAGTTAGTGGATTTTTTGCCGTCTACCTGTATTGGGGCATCTGTCAACCAGATGTAAAACTGATGATGCAATCAAGTGCTGCAGACGTCCGATGAATAAAAAAACTATTCATTTTTTATATCACATCAGTTAAACATTTTTGCTAACAAGAACAAATCTTACCTTTCTTGGTTGTGAAAAATTAAGGAATTGTTGGTTTTAACTCCATCATTTGAGTGTTTCTGCTGCAGTAAACAAAAATATTGATAGCGGCGAAGTCCGTTTTCCGTGTTCCGGACCATATATTACACGCGATCTTGCATCAAAATGCCGAAAAATAATTTTAAAAATTAATTTTTTAATATGAGCGCAGTCTTGAACAAGTTTTTCCTTTTAACACAATGACTTTATTAAAATTTTTATTTTGTAGCATCAATATGAAACATGTTCAAGCCTGCGCTCATGGTAAACTTCAGTAAAATGTACCCACGAAATGGGGGAAATCACCGATTTTCGTGTTTTTTGTCAATTTTCAAACAGCTATATTAAAAGATTGGTGATATTTTTTAAATCTTGAAAACAATTCTAGAATCATGGACACTTCCATTATTAAATGTCTTCACTCTTTTGACTTTCTGAGACAGTTTTTCTCAGTAAAATATTGGGGGTACATAGGTACCCAAGCCATACCTACTCCTTTCTCATTATTTACCTGTCCTGCTGGTTTCTTCAGTAACGGGTGTCGTAGTGGGTCTGTTGTGTCCTCATTCTTATTATTATCAGGTATAAGGCAATCTGTAAACCAACAATGTAATGACAGAATGTATAAGGATATCAGTGAAGTATTAAGAGATATGGTAGCCCACTGCAATACTAATACTGAATAATACCAAGGAAACAATGTTTTTTCTACCTTTACTTTGCAGTAGCCTGTGCCTTCATAAATTGGGAAAAGTAGGAAATTTTTCTGGAAAATGATAGATGAATTTTTTCTCTTTTTTTTTCTTTCTCCTTTTTTTATTTTGGGAAAGCAGGGCTAAAATCACTGGGAGATAAAGTTGAGTTGGGAATTTGTGTGATACATGTATCTTATTTATCCAGGTATCATTTGGAATGGACACCTCACCTGAACTAAGTCTGTTTTGTGGCTTATGAACAGCTGGGGGTGGGCAGGATGGATTGTCTACATTGTTCGAAGGGAAAGTCTCAGTTCGTCTTCTCTTCTGTTGTTGAATCTGTCCATCATCTTCTGAATCTGTGTTATTTAATTCCTGTACACATATAATAAACCATAGTTATACTTGTAAATTTATATCAGAAAAAAAAGTAAAGAGAAAACTTGGGGAGTATACATATGCTTACAATATCTGTCTTAGAAGAAGAAAAATATTGTAGATTTTGGGAGCAATATGAGTTGTCTTTACCTGAATTGTCCTGTCTTTTAATGATTCAGTTCTGTCCTTTAGACTGCCTTTACCCATGAATGGCTTACTCTGAAACAACCAACATTATTTCTAACATGAAATGCTGTCACACACAGTAAGGCATATCTTTATAACATTAAAATAATAAAAAAAAACCTTCAATTATTGTCCTAATGGTAGCCAAAGCCACATAAAGACAATTGACTAAGGCATACATCTACCACCAAAAGAAATCAAATTTGGTAACTCTCTTGTTCCCAAGCAAAAGGTTTAACTTGGCAGGTAACCTGCATATCACATACAAGTAGCAACACCACTTTTTGGGTATCTATAATTCCATTTTAAAAATTCTTTGATCCCAACAGAAAACCTAACAAAAAAACTTACCTTATTCCAACAAAAACTTTATGATATAAATTGAATTAAGTATATACAGTACAAAGCAAACACTCAGGATGTGAGTTGTACTTACTCGCTTTAGTGACAAAAAGGCTTTTGGTTTTATCACTGGAGAGGCTGAAACAAAAGCAAACCACAATTGATATAAATTCTATGTACTTTGTGAATCATCTATAGTTTGTTAAACACCAATACAAACTGAGACCTTATTCTGGTCATTAGTTTTGAGACCTTCCACTAATATATACATCATATAAATCATTATATTCCAATATAGTGCAACAAAACAAAATGGTGATGTACTGAATGATGTCCCCTTTATTATAGTAATAAAAACCTTCCAAATACCATTCCCTCTCAATTCTGAATACCGAACCAATTTTGTGTCCGAAATTGACTGCAATATACTGAAAGTCACCTATGAAAACCGGCCTTACCTGAACGATCAAGACCCGGGTTGCGACCAGCAGGCCGTGAAATCAACATAAAAAATTAGTCATGAGTAACTTTGATCCGACCTATTTCAAAATTTCAAGACAATAAAGCAAATGCAAGCAGAGAGAACCATAGTATCCATTACAAGATTTAACTTAAAAAAGATCATCATATCTCAAACAGATTTTAGGGTAAATCACACACACCTGAGAGATTCACAACAATGGTATAGCGTAAGTAACCATGGTAATGTATCAATTAAAACTGAATTACCTGTTGAGAAATCTGTTAAGTCATCATTATTATCACTTGTTGATAGAATATTTCTGCTTGCACTGGTAACAAGTGGTTTCCCAGATTTCATTCTTGTGTTAAATACTGGCTCAGCCAATGTCCTTGAGTTCGGATTATCTGAAGTGTCATCCAACACTTTTGGAGATTTTGGCTCAGAAAAAGAAGGACCAAAAAGGTCGTCGTCGTCATCATCTAAGTCTTCATAACTTTTTTTTCCTGTGTACAGAAGACGCCCTGGTTCCTTACCGATACTGCTTTTTGCCCTGGACTTGTCAGTTATAGACTCATTCATCTGGCCAGGCACACTACAATACAAAATAATGGTATCACTGTATATTTTAGACCTGTTTTCTAAAATATTTTTTACTTGCTTATTGCTGTGTACTTATTTCGCTCTGATTTTCAGTAAAAAGTGATGATATCACTTACAAGAAAATAACGCATTTAAACATCATTTTTAGAATTTTTACCTTTTTGTGTGTTTACCTGTTAATTACTCGAGTTTAAAACATTATTTTTGTGTAAAAACATTAAATTCATAAAGCTGAGTTTCAGAGCTAAACATTGATGTATGATATGTGTATCAAAATGTACTTTTTCACTAAATGAAATGAATATTACCATCAGGACTTTTTTCTGCAGTTGCCTGAAAATATATTCAGCTCAGAACACTATAGCTATGTATTTTATATAGCACTAAAGTTAAAGTTTGACAACTTCAAATTAATAACAAAGGTAATATATTATATATCTTAATTTAACTTGCAGTATTTCCAAAATCAGAAAAAATTGTTTCACTTAACTTGGAGTTTGAATCTTGTTTGGAAAAGTAAACATATCTACTAATCTTTGGAAAAATATCTGAATTATCAACCTGATCTAATTTCACTATTTAACAAGAGGTCCAGTAAAAACTTGTCACCAAGATTCAAAATCAATCAATCTTATACATGGTCTGATAAAGATTTCCTACCTAATGGAAATTGCTTATTTAAATCATTAAGTTCTTGGGTGAGGTATAAAGTTGTAAGCTAGTCTCTTCCTATTGCTATGCTTTGTCTCACTAATAAACACCAGTAACCTACAGATGTAGTGAGGTACATAAAGGATGATATGCTTACACCCTCTCTGCTCTGTGATGCAAATGCCAGATAAGAAACCTATGGCTGAGTAGTAATTTTTGAATTATATATACCAGTGAGGTACCATATCAATATGAAGGAGAAGATTCTTTTTCACAAAGCCAGATTTGTAACCCACTTACCTGTGAGGTGCTACAGTGGCAACAGGTTTCGAAAGTTTGACATCTTTGCCAGTAAAAGCAGTAATTGACATTTGTTTTCCCAGCTGTCATAAAACAAATACAGTGATTAAACAGTTGATACTTTTCTGAGTTTATGTTAAAGCTTTAATCTTCCAAAGCAGAAAAATTGTGGCTATAATTTTATGATTAGCTCTCCAAAATATTTTAAACTATGCACTTACAAGATATGGTCTGTAAGTGCCTTATTCATTCTGAAAAGATACCATTTTATCAATTGCTAACATTACAGTTGTAAAATATTATTTTCAGGAAAGTTTTTCTTTATACGAGTAGGATTTAGCATTATTGCGTGAAGGTAAAATCAATCAATATATATTAGTATGTAATGATAGAAAAACAAAACTGATTTTGTTAAGAGAATATGTTGGCAATATATTATAATGCATTGAATACAGTATTCCAGAGTCTATTTCATTGTCCTGTGATAAACTAAGATTCATCCCCTGGTGTTTTTGTTGAGTCCATGGGCTTGTTGCAGGAAACATACACTATGGTAAATAGTGTTCACTTTCAGCCACATGAAAATCATTATGATAGATTTAGCACTAGTAACAACTAAATAATTCATAAATTTTAATATTTCAAAATGGTAGGTTTCCTTCCTTATGTTTCAATTTTAGAGGCACAAACTGCATGCATTTTCTATGGTATATTCACAAGTTGATCAGCAAGACAGCCAGCATTTTTGTCTGGTAATGTAGTTGTTCTTCTTTTATTCATTTTTGTATATTTTCAATATTTGGTGCTCTTTTTAAATTCTTTTTAGCAATGTGTTGTTGCTAAGGACAAAGCAAAAGTCAAAATTTTCCATGGAGTAAAATATTTGTGATTCCTAAAATATTCTGTAAATTACATGTACTCTGTAACTTGGCTTGTTGAGATAATTTGGCAACAACAAAAAAAAAAAAAAAAAAACCATAAACACACAAACAAAATCTAAAAATCCATCATTTTCACTTTCATAATTTAAAATCTTACTAATGAAAGGACAATTTCATTCAATTAGTTTATATTACAAAACATCATCAAACCTTTGATACTTTTGGAACAAACTTAGTAGCGGGTTTGGCAGTGGTAGGAAATGGTCGTGCTGTAAGCCAGTTATCATCATTATCATCTTCATAATCATCCAGAATGATGGTTGATTGTGCTCTAGGAGCTGATGTGCTTGAAGGTTTGACATTTTCTTTTGTTGAAGAAACTACTGTTATAGATTTTGCATCTGTCACTTGAGCAAGGTTGGACTTTAAAGATTGGTCAATTTGTGTCCGTGTTCCAACTTCCAGACTGGACACAGTTCTGTTTCCTTTGCCAGCAGTTCTCTTAAATTTGAATCCACTGAAAACAATTATAACCAAATGTACATAAACAATCAACTGTGTTTGACAAGTATAGATAATTCACAAATAAAACTCTTGACACAAGGAAATTCTATTTTTTTTTTATATGTGTAGTCAATGAAAAGTTTAACTTAATAATCATTATTATACTTAAACAGTTTCTCACTCACAGGATTCATTGTAGATTGTAATCTGTGCATGAGGAAATTGATATGGTTGTCTACTTACTTTTTAGTGACAATACTGCTGTCTTCACCACCAGTTTCTGCCATCACCTGAGTAAGTCTGGTCACAGGAACATGTTGGAATATGTCTGTAATATTCAATACAAGGTCTGATTTTCAAAATTGAGAAAATTATATTTTTTAAACCAATGTTGTTAATGAATCAGCATTACTCTTAATATAAGATATACATGGACTTTCAGAAACAAGACAAGTCATAACATTTACTATCATGTTGTAAAGGTGAGTATATCGGTTACAGCCATGATCATATTTACAGAATAATCAGCTGGATCTGGGCAGGGCCAAATTTGTTGTATCTGTCAAGTAACACAATCAGGTTAACATTGAAGACTGAAACCCACTAGATTCACATGTTATTTAGTTCAGTAGAAATGACAAGAAATTGCATTGTGGGGCATTATAAAATTTAAATAAAAATGAAACATCAAATGTCACTGAAACAGCTCTCCCAAAACTTCTGGAGTCAGAATTAAATGTCACAGTGGTAAACATGCACACAGTGCTGTAAATTTTGACAAGAAAGCATACCAAGTTTTAAAGAAAAATCAATAATTAAGTATTAGTTGAAACTGAATAGTGTTTCGAAGTAGTTAACATGAGCATGAATATTATTAGCAATTGGCATCTATAATATGAATTTTGTTTTGCTCAAACATAAGAAAATATCATGATGAGTAATTATGAAAAATAACAATAAATCATCCCGTCAGCAGAGGGAAAACCAAGAGTAAATTAATCTATGGACAAGATTAAAAATGCTGCAAAAAACAATAAAAAGAATATGAAAATTTCTCTAGCCTCAATGGGACTGATTAAGGAATCCAGAATGGTAAATTATCACATTTCTTAAAATCTTTCATAACATTTTAAGGGAAAGCGGTCCCTATTCATTAATGAAAACACTTAGCCTTGTCGAAAAGGCATTTATTGCTGTTTCTTCTGTAAAACTCAATGACAACTTCTTTCTTGGTAGAAGGGTATGTAACCCTAGTATGAGGTAAATACCAGCGTCCATATATAATTAGTCGGTTAGAAGGAAAGAAATACTGTTTGAAGGACTAATCAGAGATATGTCATAAAGGATTGAAATGTTGACCTCTGTTTGGAAGCAAAAATTCAAACTATACGTTATCAATTTGTTTACAATTAAATTTGTGCAGTCTAAACATCAATTTTATTGTTACAAATGCAGTCTTAAATTGATCACAGAGGCTTGATTAAATTAGTTGATTACATAAAAGTTTGGGGGTCCAAATATAGTCATTCCTTTTGGGTGTCCTCTTTGAGACTCATTTATATCAGACGTTGGACAATGTAACTCGACTGACGAGGAGCAATGTCAAACGTCCGATATAAAGGAGTCCCAAGGAGGATTACAGGGATTACATACAGTGACCCATCACAATGAACATTTCCATCTTACCACATTAACCTTTCAGGCAATCAGGCTTTCATTTCCCATATTTTCCTTATCCATCGAGTTAACTGAACTCAAATACAAATAATAATAATTCAATATGAGTATCCTAAACATTCAAATAGCTGTAAAAATCACTAAAGCAGACGACGAATCCGCAAATGGCTACAAGTTCAGTTAGATGAATTTGAAAAAAAATCATGAATTTCAAACAAAATCGTAAATGTAAAAGAATTATATAATTGCCTGCTAAATGGAAACAAAATAAAAGCCTTACATCACTGCATTTTCCTGTAAACACAGTTCTTAACTTCGAGAAATTAAAGAAAGGCGCGCTTTTTCGAACCGGAAGTCTAGATTTCATTTGGTCGAACTGAAGAGTTCCTTTTCCGTTTGCCATTTTCATCACCCACTACACGGTGAATATTATCAAATTAAATCCGGTGAAATCGCGCATTTTCGAATGCGTATGTTATTTTGAAATAGAGGAGTACACAAAATAAGGAAGAGTTGATACTATGATTGTTTCAATACAGGATAAAATGTGCAGATGATCGATAATTTGACCCTACTTTATACATATAATCCTCCTGTTATAATTAAGTGTTTACCAAACAAGGTCGGGTCTAAGTGTTATTTTGTAATAAATGAGAGGCATGCAGTAGAGACAAAAGTACAAAATGTCTGTAACCTTGCCGTTCATTGGTTTAACTAAGAATGAGGTGTTCAAAATAGTTGTTGGACTAACGTCATGCCCATATCGTACAAACATGATTGCCATTTTATGTTTCAACTGTTCAAGAGAATTGTGTTTTCAATTCAATAAATACAAATGTGTTATATAATTTGTTTACCATTTAATGCTAGCACTAATGGTTTTCTGACAAAAAGTTTCCTTGTTATCAATAGCAAGATTGAATAGTGGTATGGTTGATCAATATATGTAAAAAGTATACAACATATGCTCGAAATTTGGAAGTTTGGATATGTATATGTAGCTTATGATATAATATAAATATATCAGCCTGTGAACGAAGAAAAATGCCATTTATTTTTAAAAGCATGATCAACTTATCTGTACATCATTGTGCATGAGGGCAAAGGATTATCATCATTTGTAATGAAAGAACGCGTTGGTCTAAAGATGTTTCCATTCTAGATCTCTATTTGCAGTGTAACTGTGGAGTTAACCATTTTAACTACCTGTCAACATCCATGTGGATGTCACTCTTATAATAACATTACATTTCCTTTACAGAAATGGCGATTCGTCACGAAATGTGTATAGGTCTCCAGAAGGGTCATAAGGTGACCAAGATTGAAGCTGGACGAAAGACCAGGCCAACCCGAAGGAAGGGAGTAAGTAGAGCCTTATTATCAATATCAATACCCGTTCTGAAGACAAAGACACAAAACGGTAATGTTGTCAGAGCTACAACATCACAGCTAGCAGAGCCTAAAACCAGATGTTAGCAATGATTTGGTCTTTGACATACACATTTTGATGATGCCCGTACACATTTGCAATTACATGAAACTTCCCATTCAAAATGAAAAAGCATGTTGATTCAAAATTGAAATCACATAGCAAAATGACTGAAGACACACTGGTTACACATTGTTTATCATTCCTTGCCCAACAAGTGATGGTTAGGGATATGATCTGAGGTCACTTTCTTAAATTGTTAAAGATGGTCTTATACATGACTTTCCATTGTGTAAGAGAATAATGCATTGTAAGTTGTGAAAGCCCTGAATAAAATTCAGTTCAGTAAGAACATGTCTAATTTAAACTTTAATTAGAATAGAGACTTATTCTGTTTATTTTCAGATCCCTTTTAAATGACATGTAGTCAAGACATTGGACATTAAAATCAAAATTGGAAAAATTTTAGTCTCTTAATCCTATCTAAGATCAAAATTCATTACAGTGAGGGAACAGAATGAAAAGTGTTTTATTATCTTTTTTTAAGACAAAAACTGTCACTGCAAGTGCTGCAGTTATTTTCATAATTGCTCATAAGAATGCCAGGCCATCTCAGACTACATAACTGTATAAAATGGATCATTGATCAGTGACTATTTTGGTGAAATTAGTGATACATGTCACACAAAATTCAGCACCTGATAACAATTCACGTTATATATCCTAATACACATTCGGTGTTTGTCATATTGTATCAAAATTAGCTAACAAAGTGTAAAGTTTTGAAAAATAATTTTCTGTATAGACAAACCACAAATTGCTATGAATAACATTGCAGTTGAAAGAATAATGTGTAGATTTTTGTGGCATCATTGAAAGATTTTGGGTTTATACCATGAAGGAATCCAGTACCCAGGGATATTTCCTGTTATAGATTTGCATTTAACCAGTCCTCATTCAAGCTTCATTGTGATAGCACTATAACAAGGAGGCTTACACAAAATTATCACAGCCTCCTACTTACACACATTCAACAACCTCCCACTAACACACGTTCAACAACCTCCTACTAACACACATTCAACAACCTCCCACTAATACACATTCAACAAATGCACTCACCTTTTAATGCTCCCTCAGGGGGAGAACATATAGTCGCTGCTTTGTCTGTCCTTGTGTCCATCCATCATAGTTTTGTTCGGACCATAACACTAAACCTATAAGAGGTATCAACATAAAACTTCATTGGGGTGCAGATCTCAACAAGGAGAAGTGCAGTGCACAAGAACCATTTCTCTCTTTTGCATAAGTTAGGACTAATTGCCCTTTGCTGTTTTTCAGACTTTAATTTTGTCTGGAGTATTACAGTAAAACTATAAGAGGTATCAACATGAAAGTTCATAGATAGATAGCTCTCTCAGTAAGGAAAAGTGCAGTGCACAAGAACCATCACTCTGTTTTGTATGATTTCGGAGTTATTACCCTTTGTTATATTTTCTATTTAAATTTTGTCTAATTCGGGGAGCATGACCTGTCTGTGGTGCTTATATAGAGTGGCTGTCCTTTCATGACCTTAGATAATGATGTAATGTTAAGCAGTGTCAAACCAAAACAATCCTCCTTCCTCAAAATCGTGAGCAATGTAGAATGTTTACATTTTTGGAGAGAAAGAAAATTAATACTGTATGATGTCTATTGAAATTGTTCCTTAGCACTGACATTAGTTATTTTTTTCCAGGCACAAACTGCCCATGTTCGTCGGGTGCGTGATCTTATCCGTGAAGTGACAGGATTTGCTCCATATGAAAGGAGGATGCAGGAGTTATTGAGGATCTCCAAAGACAAAAGGGCCCTCAAGTTTGCCAAGCGAAGGGTAAGGACTTTCTTCTCTTTACTGTTTTATCAGAGTGAAAGTCTATAGAGGTTCTCCACTTAACTGTTTAAAAAGGAAGCCCTTCTCTTTACTGTTTTGAGAGTTAGGCTATTCCCCTTTTTCTACTTTCTTAACTAAGAGTAATAAATTTCTTGTACAGTTTCTGTATAAGCACAAAAGATTATACTTTGCCTAATTTACAGATTTATTATAAGCAAAGAGCAGAAATTGTCTTTAATACAATTGTACTAGATTATAAAACACAACTTTACTCCAAAATTTTTAGTTTTCTAGATATCTTTACTCATCTGTTTACATTTGCAGAAAGAAAAATATTATTTCCTTTATCTTTCAGCTTGGTGCCCACGTAAGAGGAAAGAAGAAGAGGGAAGAAATGCAGATTATCTTGCAGAAGATCAGGAAAGCACAGCAACAGAAATCTTAAAATTTCTTGTACATAATAAAAAAAAAATCCTCACAAATTTAGTGTTGCATAGTTTGTTTGATGTTGAGCAGACATTTTCAAGGAAAGTGAAACAACAGACCAATGTATCTTGTGAAGAGATATGCCAATACTGGGTCTCTGTATAGGCTTGATAACATAGTAACCCTAAATCTGAACATGCTGCTTGTCAAATATGACCCAGGTCCTCTTGATTATGACCACTATGACCTTGATGTTGGGCGAAGGACATTAAATTGCACAAACTCGGTAGACCTTTCATGCTGCATGCTACCAGCCAAATGACGTGACCATGAACATTTCAGATTGAATAGGTTTACAGAAAGTAATTTGTTTTCATTGACTACATTATTGCCTTCACCAGATGGTAAATTAATCGATAAGACTTTTCAGGTTTACTATAATTCAATGTACACAAACATGATCAAATCAAAGCAAAAACGGGTTGAATTAGTGGCCTTCCATATATAACCAGGTGGTAACATTGAAACATCGCATGATAGTTGACCGAAGAAGAACCCATGCAATAAGGCAGAGGCCGTATTCAATTTTTACAAATGTAAATGCACAGGATACGACCAGCATTTTGTTTTCAGTTTACCAGCTATGAGCTATATATATGAAACAATCTTGTTCCTCTGGTGTCCCATACTCCTCTTATTTGGTATATAAAATTATTAGAGGTCTAGGATGAATGTTGTGGCAATTAAAAGTTGATAGGTTTATTTAGCCCATGATCATCAAATGGTGGGCAATTTAAGTCACTGGTGTACTATCGTCCATCAATCAGTAATCACTTAATGAAAATCCAAGTATGAAGTGAACACATTGGGTATTGATGGTTGAATGATGTGCAAGATAGGTTAGTGATGAGTAGGTCGTTGGCTTGTGCTGATACCTCGGACAATTCTGAAACAAGATTTCTTTTAATGAAGATAATGAGAGTAGTAATCAGGTAGTCCACAGTGAAGTCATCGGTCCATTACTGACGAGAGTATGACACAAACAGGAGTTGGCTATATTAACATGGTCAGAGCATTTAGAGTCAAATGGACAGTAATTTCATGTAATAAGAGTGGTCGAAAGTATAGAGCAATAGGTCGGGCCATATTTCTGTCATGAAAACTACTAAATATTCATATATTAAGCTTCAGTTTAAGAAAATGATATGAAAATGACTGCAAGATGAACTAGGGTACAAAATGATGTATCTAGCATAGAAGAATGTGTAAGTGTTCATCTGTCTGTGTTGGATACTTGAAATAAACTGCAACAATTTGTCACTTCTGACTGAAAAGAAAATTAAAAAAAAAACTGAATTGCATTGGTACAATAAATGCAATATACTTCAATTTTTGAAAAGTCTGAATCACAGTCCTCTGAAATTGACAGGACTAATTGCTGTTAAGAACTTTGAAAAGTCTGGATCATAGTCCTCAGAAATTGACAGGACTTATTGCTGTTAAGAACTTTGAAAAGTCTGGATCATAGTCCTCAGAAATTGACAGGACTTATTGCTGTTAAGAACTTTGAAAAGTCTGAATCATAGTCCTCAGAAATTGACAGGACTAATTGCTGTTAAGAACTTTGAAAAGTCTGGATCATAGTCCTCAGAAATTGACAGGACTTATTGCTGTTAAGAACTTTGAAAAGTCTGAATCATAGTCCTCCGAAATTGACAGGACTAATTGCTGTTAAGAACTTTGAAAAGTCTGGATCATAGTCCTCAGAAATTGACAGGACTTATTGCTGTTAAGAACATTCAACCAACTCACAGTGGCATCAATATGAACATTGCTTGATGACTGAATTGCTAATGCTCTAGTCTGTAACCGGGGCCAAATTATTGAAATATTACAGATTTTGCAGTAGTATCCAACTTCTCATCCTCCAGGCCTAGATTCCAGTGGTGATTTTAGCAAAACAAACCCAATCCCAAAAGTCAGGAATCAGAATCCGTGGGAGACTAAGTTTGCTTTGTGCCATGGTTTGACTTGGGTGAGCAGTGTCATATATAAAGAGTAAGTTTGTCGAGGCTCTATCTCTTACACTACTTGTCACTTAAACAATATTCTTGGAGTATGGATTCACCTTGGCGAGGCAGTGTGTTGACTTTCTTTCTTCTACCATAACAAAAGGCCCAGGGGCCTAAATGGTCACGTGAATGAACTCACAAACAGAATCAGTTTGAATGAATGTGTAGTGTAGAGAGGAGTAAATGCCAAATGTTATTAGCACAGGTGTAACACAATTATTTCAATGCCTATGTTAGGTTTCCAAACCTTGGACTTTGGGCTTACTGATGCTCAACCTATTGAGCTAAAGAGAAGTTCTCTCAAGCCAAGCAGTATATTTCTGCTAGTATTTTACTAAGGTTACACACTTACCCTTCAGGAAATAACCGATCCTCGAGTTCCTAGGGGCTACAGCGATGCAGTTGAAAGAAATGTTAAGTATTATTGTTCCTTTGTCTCTACATGGGTGCCATATTAACAGACGTCATTATTTATTATTTCAACAGTATTACACAGGGAAGGAAGAGTTTTACTCAAGTTACAACTCATTGTACAACTTTTATGACATAATTGTCACCGAATAAACTATTGTAAAATTTACAATTTTGGTAAAGCTTCATCAAGAGTATTTGATTCTACCATATTTGAGTATCCAGAAGATTTTTTGAAATTTCAGTCAATTTGACCTGTTTTGGCACCACCCATCAGTCCTTGATGGCCAGAAAGGAACAATGTGGATATCATATAACTGTGTGTTTTTAAATAATTGTAACCAATGAAAAAACTATGCTCAAGAATGTGATTTACCTTATAAACTATAGTAAATTTTATCCCCTCCGTAAAGGGAAATGTGTGACCCAGAGGTCATGGAACTTACAATTTTGGTAATGCACCTTAAGACCCTTTCATTTATCAAGAGTCTCTGATTCTCACATAATTGGGGATTGAGAGAAAGATTTTTTAATTTCAGTCCTTTAGACCCTTTCAGCCCTGGCCCCAAGAGGGTGGAGACCATATCATTTACTCTCACATAATTGGGGATTGAGAGAAAGATTTTTTAATTTCAGTCCTTTAGACCCTTTCAGCCCTGGCCCCAAGAGGGTGGAGACCATATCATTTACTCTCACATAATTGGGGATTGAGAGAAAGATTTTTTAATTTCAGTCCTTTAGACCCTTTCAGCCCTGGCCCCAAGAGGGTGGAGACCATATCATTTACTCTCACATAATTGGGGATTGAGAGAAAGATTTTTTAATTTCAGTCCTTTAGACCCTTTCAGCCCTGGCCCCAAGAGGGTGGAGACCATATCATTTACTCTCACATAATTGGGGATTGAGAGAAAGATTTTTTAATTTCAGTCCTTTAGACCCTTTCAGCCCTGGCCCCAAGAGGGTGGAGACCATATCATTTACTCTCACATAATTGGGGATTGAGAGAAAGATTTTTTAATTTCAGTCCTTTAGACCCTTTCAGCCCTGGCCCCAAGAGGGTGGAGACCATATCATTTACTCTCACATAATTGGGGATTGAGAGAAAGATTTTTTAATTTCAGTCCTTTAGACCCTTTCAGCCCTGGCCCCAAGAGGGTGGAGACCATATCATTTACTCTCACATAATTGGGGATTGAGAGAAAGATTTTTTAATTTCAGTCCTTTAGACCCTTTCAGCCCTGACCCTTTCAGCCCTGGCCCCAAGAGGGTGGAGACCATATCATTTACTCTCACATAATTGGGGATTGAGAGAAAGATTTTTTAATTTCAGTCCTTTAGACCCTTTCAGCCCTGGCCCCAAGAGGGTGGAGACCATATCATTTACTCTCACATAATTGGGGATTGAGAGAAAGATTTTTTAATTTCAGTCCTTTAGACCCTTTCAGCCCTGGCCCCAAGAGGGTGGAGACCATATCATTTACTCTCACATAATTGGGGATTGAGAGAAAGATTTTTTAATTTCAGTCCTTTAGACCCTTTCAGCCCTGGCCCCAAGAGGGTGGAGACCATATCATTTACTCTCACATAATTGGGGATTGAGAGAAAGATTTTTTAATTTCAGTCCTTTAGACCCTTTCAGCCCTGGCCCCAAGAGGGTGGAGACCATATCATTTACTCTCACATAATTGGGGATTGAGAGAAAGATTTTTTAATTTCAGTCCTTTAGACCCTTTCAGCCCTGGCCCCAAGAGGGTGGAGACCATATCATTTACTCTCACATAATTGGGGATTGAGAGAAAGATTTTTTAATTTCAGTCCTTTAGACCCTTTCAGCCCTGGCCCCAAGAGGGTGGAGACCATATCATTTACTCTCACATAATTGGGGATTGAGAGAAAGATTTTTTAATTTCAGTCCTTTAGACCCTTTCAGCCCTGGCCCCAAGAGGGTGGAGACCATATCATTTACTCTCACATAATTGGGGATTGAGAGAAAGATTTTTTAATTTCAGTCCTTTCCTTCACATAATTGGGGATTGAGAGAAAGATTTTTTAATTTCAGTCCTTTAGACCCTTTCAGCCCTGGCCCCAAGAGGGTGGAGACCATATCATTTACTCTCACATAATTGGGGATTGAGAGAAAGATTTTTTAATTTCAGTCCTTTAGACCCTTTCAGCCCTGGCCCCAAGAGGGTGGAGACCATATCATTTACTCTCACATAATTGGGGATTGAGAGAAAGATTTTTTAATTTCAGTCCTTTAGACCCTTTCAGCCCTGGCCCCAAGAGGAGACCATATCATTTACTCTCATATCATTTACTCTCACATAATTGGGGATTGAGAGAAAGATTTTTAATTTCAGTCCTTTAGACCCTTTCAGCCCTGGCCCCAAGAGGGTGGAGACCATATCATTTACTCTCACATAATTGGGGATTGAGAGAAAGATTTTTATAGTCCTTCACCCTTTCAGCCCTGGCCCCAAGAGGGTGGAGACCATATCATTTACTCTCACATAATTGGGGATTGAGAGAAAGATTTTTTAATTTCAGTCCTTTAGACCCTTTCAGCCCTGGCC